CCAAAAATTTTGGAAGATATTTAGGAGTAGACATGGATTTAAGTGCTCGAGAAACAACTTTCGGCTAGTAGATATATAGAAAGTAATTTCGAATGATAGTGAATACGCGCGGCCCAGGTAATTGCATAAAAGAAGAAGGGAAGGCGATCGCTGAGACCAATGGTTTATTTATCCGACGTTTCGAACTCTCACGCGAGCCCATCGTCAAGGAATGAAAATACTGTAATTTATAAACATCTGCCATATGCATATACATGTATTTGGAAAAAGCCACCTATAGCCAGAAATGGCTGTCTCAGTCACCCCTCACTGCGTACGGAGCTCCAGGTATTCCACACTTCGGGTTGGGTATGACTGGTCGACGACGGCTAGTAAGCCAGAAGTTACTATTCCAGTCTCCTTTGTCTCTGTCGGTAATGGCATACTGCCTATATCATGCGCCGCTGTGTGGCTGCTGGTTGGGCTCGAGAGATAGCCCGTAAGGCACAACGGAACGAGTGAGTTTCGTAAGAACGATCGATAAGCGTCCCCTACAATTTTATTTTCCTGATCGAAACCGACAGGGCAACGGGCTCGTGGTCCAGTGGTTAGAGGCGTGGACTTCTAACTATCAGGTCGCGAGTTCGAGTCTTGGGTGTTCCACACTTCGGGGTTGGGTATGACTGACTGATAACGGCTAATAAGCCAGAAACTGCTATTCCAGTCTCACTTGTCTTTGTCGGTAATGGTATTCTGCCTACAACTTTAATTCTCCATTCACATCGACGGAGATCAGCATTACATTGCCACGGCAATTTCAGTCACCCGGTCAGCCAATTGGTGGTGTAGAGGACGCAGGCATCTAACCCTGACATGTGCGACACGACTTACGTTCGTAGTCAAGAGCTTTATTAGCCTGACGTTTCGGATTCCTGCCCGAATACATCATCAGAGACAACAGCAGATACGGGTGATTCACGCACAAGGACCTGCAGTATTAATAGGATGCAGTCGTCATGCTACCGCATACCTATAAACATTCACGGCTCCCCCCTTCAGCCTGCAGCCCCTTGTGCGTGAATCACCCGTATCTGCTACTGTCTCTGATGATGGGTTCGAGCAGGAATCCGAAACGTCAGGCTAATAAAGCTCTTGTCCCAGCGATCGTGTATCCTTCTTCAAGAATACTTTCTGGGACTCGTCTCTTCGCTTCTATTGGTTACGTTTGTAGCATTTTTTTATTGTTTTCTCTTTCCTCTCATTATTGTCCCGGGGCGATTTTTATTTCCAAAATTCCTCACTGCCTTTTACGTATAATAGCGTCTATCGACTCTCAGAGCAAATCATCATCTGAATCTATGTTAATGGTACGCACAAAGTGAGCAGCGACCAAACTGCAAAAGAGGCCTATCCTGACGAAGGCCTTCAAAGTTGATGAACACAGGAAGACCACCAGCCGACCGTTAAGAGGTAAAATAGCCACGAGTCAGGCTCAAACATCCCAAGCGATTTTCCGGAATCTGGGAAGCATATTGCAACGGGGGAGTTCGACATCGTGGCTATAAGACTTTCCGACTTCTTAGATAAAGGGAACGACCGATTCAACAGCGGATGGTTGAGCATTCAGTGGGCATGGAGAGACGTTCTGTCAGCCAAGAATCCGCAGCATATGAGGTATAACTTATTAGTGCGTCAGATTTTAGTAAGGACGAAATCATTGAAGGGAATGAGAGATGCGTGACCTGCAGGCTTAGTTTATCATTGTACTAGGACCGAAAAACGACCTACACCAACACCGCCCGGGGTGGATATCCCCAAAAATAAACCGTGCGTCTACTGCGTTTGGGCGCAAACGCAGTCCTCAAGGGAACATCCCTGTCGGTGATTTGGACAGATCCCCACTAGCCATCAGTCGCGAATCAGTCGTGCTCACTAATTATCGCTGCTCTTTTGTGTGTCACTTGGCGTCTCTGTTGATGGTTTCGCGCTTGATGCCGAAACGAAAGAAAAATATACAATACGCTCCGCTGATCGAGGCCTCTGCACAACGGTAAACAGGTAGGCATTTCAGAAGACGAAGATGTGATCACTGGAACAGGAAATTTAGTGGCCTGACGTTTGGGATTCTCATTCGAATCCATCATCAGAGACAGTCTCTGATGATGATGTAGCCGATGATGGATTCGAGTGAGAATCCGATACGTGAGGCCAATAAATTTCTTGTTCTAGTAATCGCATCGTCGTCTTCTGAACTGCTACCTGAAACTCGCCTGTTCGCTTCTATCAGGTAGACATTTATTGTAACACCTGCCAGTTCGTTATCCGTGAATGCAAATGAATGATTCTCATCGCGAAAGGACTAGTTGCGTATTCATTTACCATGGATCACAGTCATATAACAGGCATTCGAAAATCAGGATTTACTGCGGAGGCATATAGGGGTCAGTCAGTTTTGCATTGCATTTCTGGGTTCGAAGAGTATTGACATGAAATAAAGGAAAACAGTGGTGGACAGTTGTGGACTTATTTGTATCTGCCATGGCCGAAATGAGATTAGGAAGAGTAGCGGTCCAAACTTAGACACTTTGCTCAATGAGCACCGAAACACGGGCAGGATCTTTCGACCGTGACCGAGAATATGCAACAGTCGAACTAATTAATCTATCGTCGCCACAGTAAAGTGAACGGACACTTCCGGAGCACTTAGGTGCCGTGATCTGTAGACGGTGGCATTCCAGGAGTTACTGATCTGAAGGCTTAAACAAAGAAATGGTCATTGTTTTCGTTCTCACCTTCTCAGAAATTATGCTGAAAGAAGGGCAGTGCCTCAAAGCAGTTTGCAAATAGTGTGCCAGCCACATGAATAGGTAATTTCTATACTGGAATAGTTTCGATACCCCTACGATAAGGCGACGTATCAAAGTGCGATCAGATTGCAACGAAAAGTTCTCCAAATAAGACATCGGGAGACAGAGTTACATGGACAGTCTACACTGAGGCCGGCAGCCTACAAAGACCTCAGCGGTCGGTGGCGTCGAAGGTTTCGGCGCATCGAATGCCAGCCATTGTTATTGTTGATGATGATGATGATGTGTCAACGCGAGCGTACAGGCGACTAAGAAGTCGTCGTCAGCAATTGTTCTAGGTTGCCGAACGCCAGCCGGTGATGTTTTTACTCTCTACGCGAGGCGCAGTCGTTTGCGTGAGCTTTGTTTGGCTGGCGTTAGTCGTTGAGGCAAAAAAATATTAATCAGCATTACGGCGCCGGCAAGTCGAAGGCTGAGTCACATGCTGTGCAAGCAGTGACCTGGCGAGGGAACCTCTGTCGCTGTTGTCATGCCGAGTATGCCGACACATGAGCTCCCCTCGTCTCGCCGTCCCAACCTTGCATTCAACAGGCCATTCGCCTCCCATGACTGCCTGCAGAGATGGGATTTCAGAAATCGCTCGTCGACTATGTTGAATGGTCCCCATTTGCGTGATTAGAGCGAAAGCACGACTATTAAAGAAAAAATTAAACATGACCTCCGAGGGACGCCGTTTGCCTAGGCCAGTGCATTATTTTGACATGGGGGAACGTGTTCTGAGTAAGCAGTGCTCGATCAAATTTCAGCAATTCAGATCCCGAGTCGGAAGTTTAATTCGATCGGGACTTCTTCCAGAAACAACACCCGTACGGTTGAAATCACCAAAACCTTAGCAAGCGGAAGTGCAGACTGGAAGACTGGAATGGCTAGTAATGGTTCATTTGATGCTCTCAGTCCAGCAGAATAAAATTACACAAAAGGCTAGACCTCATGCAGAAAGTGTAAAATCAACTGCTTTGTTCGGATTCTGAATGAAAATTGTGTGTCTGAAGGTTGTATTGTGTTTAAAATAAACGACCACCATCTTCCACATCTATGCTCTTATCTTTCCGCAATGTTGATCTATTTAAATAACCTGTGGAACCACTTTAAGTGAATTTTTAGTAAAATAAAAATTTAAATAACATTTGCAATAAGTTAAGTGAAAACGGTCACATCTGCAGCTTACATGTGTGTGATCACTGCACCAAGCCATTCAGGAATGTCCGGGATTATGCTCGGAAAGGGCTTTGTAAAAACCGACGTGGCCTTCATGAGGTCGAAATTTTGTCAGTGTATTGAGTAAACCTACTCATTTGAGTCAATGGGATCATGTTAGGAGGCGCAACAATGCCGTTCCTAGCAATAGGAACGATTATTTAAGGCACCTCGAAATCAAGCAAAAGGATGGATGATTGAGGAATTTGGTCTTAGATGCTCATGATGGGACACACTTTTTCAAGTGGAAAATCGATGGATGGACGCGTAGTTTGAGGGTAGAACGACTTGGCGAGCCGAGGGGACGTGAATGCGAAGGGTGGAGAGTTTTCTCACACGGAGGAAGGTTGGGGTCCATGATTGCCCATCTTCTATGTGGCAACAAAATCGTTACTTGCTTTTATAAGGTAGTAAGTTTTTCACTTCTTCACTTTGTAGACCACATCAACCACAACGCCCGTGCCTGCCATCGAACAAGACCCCGAACTAACTCACTTGGATGTTTTTGTTCGCTACCCCTCCCTCAGTGATCTTCTCCAGCGTTTTGCTCCCGAGAGCATTGAAATCGACAAATTTGTTACGCCATGCTGGCTTCCAATAAGCTGTCTTTCACTCGTGATATGCAGCGTAGTCTTCGCAAATTGGCAAAGAGTCCGAGGTGGACGCAAAGGAGGGGAGGCAATCTGCCTAACTAGAGCCAAGAATGCGTCCAAGCCTGGAAGACCATCTTTCATGGCATCCGGTCAATTTCTGTGCTACTGTATTCTCTACCTCTTTTACTGCGTCTTAGTTGCTCTACATGACCTTGACGGTGTTTGGAACACCAGCGTGCTCACGTGGATCCGCGCTGCATGTCCAATCACACACGGACTGAAGATGACTTTTCAAATCAGCATCGCTCTTACCACTCTTCTTATTGGTCTTCGCGGTCTACTAACGACAAGATTGGCAACAGGCATGCCCCCAAGGAGACCCCTATGCTGCCGCCGAATACGCGACTTGAGGAAGTGTGTATTTGGAAGGCTTCAGGTAAGGTCAACACAAATTCACTAAATTCTTTGTAAAATGTGCGGCTACCACTAAATAGTGCACGCATTTTGAAAATGTGAGCTGTCTAATACAACCATCGGAAGGATCTTTGTCATAACAGTGTGTGGAGACGAAGATTCTGGACAGCCGAGAAACGGATGTCGAGGGATGGAACTCGTCGTAAAAGTAATCGTTTTAATTCACTTAAAATATAAGACAACCTGGAAAGCAGGCTTTCCTATGGGAAACGCAAACGCGCAGAATATTCGTTAGGGATTGTGCCGGGGAAAGGGGTGGGTGATTATCGCATATGGCTGTCCATATCATTCAGTCGGGTCACTAGTTAAACTTCGCAGCCAAAAGGATAGTTACTCATGACGGAAGTAGGACGGACAGAAAGTCGATTTGAGCCTAAATTTCTAAGGAGAAGCCAGTCAATCGATGTATTGATCTGACGCGAGAATGCGGAATCCTGAGCGGTCCTCTCCAAAGCAGTGGAACTGGTCGCTGATTGGCTAATATGACTGCCCATATCAGTCAGACGGGCCACAAGTTCAACGTCGTATCCACCAAGATAGTTGCTTATTCAGTAAGTAAAGTTTATCTGAGCCTGAGTTCCTGATGAGAACGCAGGCAATTGATGTATTCGTCTGATGCTCGCATACGGAATCCCGCGAGGTCACCTCCAGAGCTATGGCATTGACCGCTGATTGGCTAATGCTCTGTATAAATTCTAATTATTTAGTTGCCGTTATTTCTGACACTGGACTTGTGTACGATTTCAAAGGGTTAGAAAAAACAAAAAAAACGGTTCCGGCGCCCAAGTGATATCCTTCATCCTTGCCCATGCATACACCTGAAACATGAACATTCTTGATTAGCGGACTAACGGGGGATTTTGTTTTCCTGTTTAAAAAAGCCAATTAGGCAAATTCTCAGCGGCCCTGGTTGCCAATTGCCCTTGCGCTTGTCCAATGTACTTGCATCCGCAATTGCATGTGAATTCATGCACGCAATTTCGGGTAGCGTGCATCTGCAAGGCATCAACGAGTTCTACTGCGTTGTACGTTCTTTCCATGGTGCAACATAAGCGTCGCTTGATTGGTTTTGAGACGTTGTCACCCCTAAAAGGTAAGCATATTACAACGGGATTCTTCGGAGTAGATTGTTTCGTCAACTCTGGCCGTTAATGGTTGCTGTACTACTGAATGAGGCGGGCAGGATAACCATGGATAATTAAGGCTTCTTTGATGCGGCAGTTTCTGTATCCATGGTCTCCCTGGTGCAAATATTCCTTGTTCTTTAAAAAAGCGTATGTACTAGATTTATTTCCCATTACATTGGCGCAAAGCTTTTAAAATGTGAGCATTGCCCTTCCCACGTAATCGTGTGAAAGACGGAGCGTCTTAATGAACCAATGTCCACTCTAAAGATGAGGACGCCAAGGAAGGGTAACTTGTTACACTGCTCCATTTCCATCGCAAGTCCGGTTTTCCGATGCAAATTATTCATCACACAAAGTAGGTCGGCGGCGTCTTCCTTGTCAAAAATCGTGATTATATCATCCAAGTATCTCCTGTATAACGCTGTCCTGTTTAAGTTTGATGGCATCCTTTCTTCTAGGTAACCCATAAAAACGTCGTCAAAGGCTGACTTGGGTGGACTACCCATTGCGACTCCGCCAGTTTGTCTGTAGAGATCCCCATTAAACAGAAAATGGACATCTTTGATGTAAAGTAATAGCAGATCGTGTAGCATTTCGGGGGACAGGCGCGTTCCGGATATCTATGGTTTCATCCAATGGTACATTGGTTAATAAGGATTCGACGTCTTAGGAAATCATACATTTGTCAGCAATGTTCTGGTGCTTAATTTCTTCAATGAAATGTAGACTGTCTTTTATCATGTACGTGAAAAACAACTGTTGAATTGGTTCTAGCTCCTTGACAAGCCATTTTGCTAGTCTGTGAGTAGTGAATTAGACATAGAAAGAATTGGTCGTAAAGGTGTGTCCTTTTTATGCTCTTTTGATAGACGATATTGTCTGAGGATATGGGTGTCTCTCGGTTTCAGGGATAGGGCTGTTTTAGTATCAATCGAGTTTTTTTCAGCAACAGTTGAACCTTTTTCCAGACGGAGTATTTCATTGTCTTAGTTTTATCTTTCCCAGACGCCTCTAGACAAAATGTGCTCTGATTATTTAGAATGCACAGCATTTTCCTCGCATAGTTCTTCCGGTTAAGAACAACAACTACACGGTGTTTTTCACGCCTTGAAACTAGTATATAGTCACGAAGTTTAAATGAGGATAGGGTAGCTATGTCTTCTTTGGTTAATGGAGTCTGTTGTATTACAGGAGCTTTGCAGGAGCTTTGTGGACGAGCAATGTCCACAAATTTTGCTTTCAACCAGCCGACATCGTCAGTGGATCTGTGTACTAAGTCAAAAAATAGGAATTCAAGTCTTCAAAATGAGCCTCAGTTTCAAATGGGGTTTATCTCCTGTTCAGAACGCAAAAGCCAAGTCCTAATGATAAGGGCTGTGATTATAACTCATTAATTTTGATGTCAGACAGAGTAGGGATAGTTCCATCTGTATTCAGAGGGAAATAATCGCATGTTTCATGAACATTAACCAACAGAAAAAACTTATCCTGCCAAGAATATGTTTTGTCTCATCCAAACGAGATTTGTTAATGTCGACAGCTTTAACTGAGTCCTCAATTTTCGATTGTGCAAGACTGTCCAGATCTTTCATGGTAGGATACACTTTACTCCGACGAAGGATCTTGTTGAATTCCACTGGTTACTCCTTGCTGCTTATGCAATTCTGAAGAAATTCAATCCGTGTGTACTCTTTCGTTATTTTGCATCGCAATTGTAGAAGTCTGTCCGGAAACTTAATTATAACCGAGGGGAGGTGATATTTGAGAAATCTGAGGAATTCTTCCCCGGTATGAAATGATAAATTCTCATCAGGCCTAAGCATTTGTATGGCCGTACGATTGTCTAGAAATTGGTAATAGTTTGAGAACACAAATCACAGCTATTGATTTACAAAGGCGGGAGGAGAGATTATTGATCCTTCACACGGGCAAAATGCACAGCTCCGTAGAGCAGAAAGTAGAAATGGAAATATGGATTCGACCCATAGGAAGTTTGTTTTCGTTCCGGAGTAGCTATTTTCGGACCAGGTGGGTTTCAAATGTGTGTCCTTTGTTTTAATAAGAGTAATCTCCTGTCACTGAACAATTCAGACTATTGGCCGCTGCAGCGATACCGTGAAATCCCATATAATTTAATATCCCTGGTCTCAGCCAGCACGACAGTGACCCGTTGTACGGGTTGAGAGCGTTACTCAACGATCGCCTGCTCCGAATTCAAACAGTGAGTAACCCGCAACCTGGGCTGGAGTATCATTGATTCCTAACGACTAATAAGCCAGAAATTACCATTTCAGCGTCCATAAACTTTTCTGGCAACGCTTATAATTAAGACTGTTTTATGTAAATAATAGATGATTAAGTGTTGGCGTACGGCGTTAAAGGGTTTTAAAATTTATTCCAGCGATTAAGGACGGACATAGGAATGTTCCTCGAATTTAGACTCATTAAAAATCGCACATTGGTGGAATTGTGCAAGATAATATATGTTCGACAACTTTATGTGTTTTAAATAATTAACAGGTGATACTTGCGTAATACCAATTCATATGTAGCCTATTGGATATGATTTCACACAAGCTTCCTACACACATTTTCGTTAGGAATGCGGCCAAGTTCGTAGGTACTGGGTTCGTATTTGACAATTAATACACGAACAATTATAGTTCTACTAACAGTATTTGAGTAGCACGTATATTAATGAGTTCACCTAATCGCTCCGTAACGGATAGACAGACTTAGGCATACATTTCAGTTGTCTTCCGGCGATACCAAGCAAGCCGTTTGCAATCCTCAAATCAAGAACATGCTGAGGTAGACTATTCAGACCAGAAACTGTGCGTGAATTGTATTGCTCAGTCTGTGTAACGAGGGAACAGGGCAACGATCTTATCCTTTTGTGAATACTGGGAAGCCAGTTCAGCCGATAAATGCGAGCCGAGTCAAGAAGGCACATTCTGCGCTGAAACATCAACGTATGAGGAGAACATGACCTTTTGCAAGTTGACATATGAGATAGCAATCGGAAAATCAGTCAAGCCTTAGGGAATTTATCAAGTGGGTTTTTACCTAGAGGCAAAGGGCAACTTGGAGACTCTGGGGACTAAGAGATTGAGCATGGTTCAGTTGGCGCAGCAAGACCCTCGACACACTCAAAGCTGACAAAGGACCTAAAATGCCGGTTCTCTGGATATTCACAGGTTTATACTGGAAAGCAAAGTACACGTTTCTGCTTTTATATAAAACACCCAGTGCAATGTACATTAGCTGAAAAACTCATTTATTCCCCTGATATACATAAGTTACTGAGGTGCATTGTTTGAAAAATATCTTCCCATTACATCTGTAAATGGAAGGCCTTTTGAGTAGGAACTTTCGAAACCTGCTTCTGGAACTCGTGCGGTAGGGGTCGGTTATGCTGTCCTGGTTCCAAGCGTAAGCGCAATGTGGGCACTGCAAGTGAAGTAAGTCGAAGGAGAATGCCGAAATCGTTAGTGGGGAAAGTAGTCAAAGCTAAGACGGGAAGGGCAACCTAACGTTTCGGTTTAGAGGTAGGGTGAGTTTTGGACTTTGGATTGGTGTCAGGCTGAGAATTAAGTTTAGGGCTAGGGTTTGTTTTAATTTTAAGGGTTTAGGTTAGAGTGAGGGTTCGGATTGCGGTTAAAGTTTACGTTTAGTGTTAAGGTTGGGGTTAGGGTAGGGCAACAGTTAAGGTAAGGGTTACGATTTCAGTTAGGGTTAAGGTTAGACTTGGCGTTAGAGCTAGGGTTTGTGGTAAGTTTCGATTTATATTTAGTGTCAAGTTCAAGATTAGTATTACGTTTATAATTATGTTACCAACTTGGTTTAGCTTTGAGGTCACGTTAAGTTTCGCCATAAGGTTTGGGATATTACTGTACCGCCTGTCTATTGCGGTGATTCTAGGTTTCCTTCAATCTGGCGGAGGATATGTAATACATGAGATGTCCTTGTCCGTTTCAAACTCGGCTACTGTCTTTCACTAACGATTTCAGCACCCCCACATTACACCAGGACAGCGTAACCGACCCTTGCCACACGACTTATACACAGACCCTAATCGCAAAAGTATTTGCCCGGTATTCGTCGATTGGTAGTCAAGTTTCCAGAAGGAAATTCGTAATTTGAAAACTTTCGCCTTGATTAGAACTAAAATAATCCCAACCGGGCTTGGAAATTCCGATGGCAACCGGTAAAGAATCGGCAGAAAACCTAAAGGATGATCGTCAGACAACGATTCGCCTTGAAGCTTGAGAGAAACCTCAAAATAAGGTTGTTTTAACCGATTAAACTATAAATCTGGTAGGCTAAGTCAAGCGACTGGGAAATAGTTAACTACTGGAATATTTGGCGGGTGGCTGGGAGACATAGAGTTGAGTGCCAGAACACGGACATTCGTTAAAGTGCCCCACTTCGAAACAAGCAAAAGTCATCCGGGAAACTGAAGCCGCCGACAGTTAGTTAGTTTGCGGTGCGACCGTACTTTTATAAAGTTAACGAATGCAGGACTTTCTGTTTACAGAAGCGATCTATTTATCCACTTACTTTCTGCAGGAATTAAAAGCCTCCCTTCTAATTCCGTCAGTCTTATAGTTTGTTCGAAATCATTTGATGTGTCATCAAATCGCTTGTGCAAAATTTAAAAAAAAGAAGTTGGAGTCAGAGACGTTGTCATTGACCTCAACACTGCTTAGACTCCTGGTGGGCGGGTTTGTGACCTCGCGGTCGCCCCTCATCACCGATTTACTGGACAGCCCACGGAGAGTATGAGTCAGGGTGTGGCTCGGAGATGAACTGAAATGTTCCAGTCCTCGGCTGTAGGCAGCCACTAGGCGCAGACTACCGTAATTGTTAACCAGGTGGCGAGTTCTGCACATCTTTGGGTCAAATTAGGAGTGCTGGCGTGTAACGACTCGGGGGAGATGACGAAAAGCAAATGGCTAAATGGGAGAGACGGAATGAGAGATTCTGATCGCGTGACGGCAATGGACATTTCGGCTTTTCCCTGCAGCTGCATGGGAAATCGTGCAGAGATTAGTGATCCATAATCAAAAAAGCGCTTTCGACGAGCATTACGGATGCTGCAATAACCATTTGTGACATATCGGCGTCAGCAGATTAACGCGTCGACTCAGCACTTGATCTAGGATCGAAAGGGTCAGTGAACCCGTTGAGTCAAAGCCTTTAACTGCCTTAAGCACTTTGTCAAAAACCTGTTAGCCAAGACCCTGCAATAGGCGGACATAATGCGTGAGCCCTGTAGCTTAAGTAACCAGGTAATTTTTCCCTAGATGTCCGACGATTCACAAGGCCAACTTCAAACCCCATATGCATTAGCATCTGGCGGTCGGTAAGCCAGAAAAGGCTGCGCCCGAGTCCATAGTCCCTGCCGGTAACATGCAACAGTGAATATTTTTAGACAAAAACACGTTTAATATTTCTCTGCAGAGTTTCGACTGCCCTCCGGGAGGCATTAGACTGACTTACAGACCTGACCGCACTCAGCTAGGTGAACACACAAAGCACATTTTATTATTCCGTCTTCCAGGAATTATAGGACTGCTTTACCGAATGAGACATAAGGTGGATAAGACAGTGGAGGGTTTTGCCAAAAAAACCCGATGTACGCTCATGCTTAGCATGCGATTCGATGGGATTTGTCATTGAGTCTTATGCAGTCCACTGCTCTACCATTGAGTTACGGGCCTGTTGTTCTGTGGTTTGCGATCAAGAATGCAAATTACATAAAACAAATAAATAAAATCGCTTTATTAATATGTAATAATATGTAAAATTGAATTTTCAGATTAATTAAAGAACGAGTAGCTAAGCATCACACAGTTTTCATTCTGTGTTTTTAAAACAGGCAGTCTGGTATGAAAGACAACCAGCGAACAGTGAAAAAATGACAGAAAGCGGAAAAACTGTCGCTGTTAGAAGATAGCTAGTCAAGGAGGTCCTGTGATGTGCTAGACTCATGTCCTGGGCCACAATCGAGAAGCGCATAGCGACCAGAAATATGTATACATATATCAGTGGGGATGTCGACATGCATAGAGGTAAACTGGTACAGCACTGCGTCGGAAGGAATTAGTTCTCATTCTGTCAGTCATAACGCTGACCTTGGTCCAAAACCTAAAACATGCACGCACACGCGAACAACGTCTTTGACTCACAGACAGCGGTTAACGGTGGCATCACAAGTACTTAAAGGTACCGATTTATACCAGTGCCTCGTTTCCTGGTATTGTTTGCAATTGTGGATCGGACACAAATTGACACCTAAATCTGCGTACACCGACTCACTGGCTTCATGAGTATAACCAGCAGCGAGTGGCTACGAAAGTGAAAGAACAACAGGCCCACTTGTAAACTGGCACAGCACTGTTTCGGGCTTGTTCTGGAACATTCCGCTAAATCATATATATATATATATGTTGGAAGGTAGGCATCCCAAGAAATATAAGTCAAGTCGAGTATGTGCCTTGGGAAAGGAAGTTTATTGTGCAAATTTTCGACGCCGGTGCCCAGGTCATCGGCAGACACAGACGGAGAGCAATTGTGCCGACACAATTAACATCTAAAAAGTCGATAATCGCTTGACGTTCGTGCCAGTAAGCAGCCGCCGTGTATGTCAGTCCGTTCTGATTGGCCTTCGCTTCTTCTATCTCTCCTTGTAATTTCTGTGCGCAGCATCCAACTAGATGTGTTGGTTGATGCATGCTTCGTCTGAGTGCAGGGCCTCAAGGAACTCTCGGCGTTTCTTGGAGGGGCACACGGCGACAATGCGAGTTTTCTCCCGATCGAAAGTGATCCCCGTTTTCAGGGTGTGCGTGGTTACTTGAGACTGGTGGTCTCGCCTCTTCACTGCCAACTGGTGTTTGTGGATGCGTGTAGAGGCGCATTTTCCAGTCTGGCCGCAACAGACGGCATCACACGCATCACAAGGGATCTTGTAAACGACTTCTTTTCTGTCCAGATAGTTAACCCTATCTTTAGGGTGCACGAGCTGAGTGTGCAAATTAGTCGTCGGTCGGTGCGCCACCTGCATTCGGTGCTTCCTTAAGTGGCTTTCAACGAGTTTGGACACATGTTTAATGTAAGGAAGTGTTCGCAAGGTTTTTGGTTCGGACGTCCGATTTGGATTACCTGGCTCCTTTCTCTTCAACTCTTTCTGCCTCATGCATCGGCGGACAAAATCTCTAGGGTATCCATTCCGCGAAAACAATTCACACAAGAATTGTGGTTTGTCTTGATAGCCTTCTTCATCAGAACAATTCGTTTTTGCTCGATTAAGCAGACTGGTAACAGCAACCCGTTTGCGAAAGATTGGCTGATTGCTCTCGTAAGGTAGAATGATCTCCGCATAAGTGTCTTTACGGTTAACTGATGTAAGTGGTGTTCCGTCGGTTTTTCGCTGTACGAGAACGTTCAGAAAAGGCATTTTACTGTCGACTTCCTTTTCGAGTGTGAACGTAATCCCCGAAATTGTTGAGTTTATATTGTTGTTGAGCGCTTTCAATTGGTCCTTTTTAACGAAAACAAATACGTCATTTACATATCGCAAACACAATTAAGGTTTAATTAGCGGAAGAGCCGTAGTCTCCAGTTTCTACTTTGTGACTCCGGCGAGAAAACCAGAAATTGGAAATCCCACAGGAGCTCCTTTCAGTTGCTGATAGCACTGTTGGTTGAATGAGAAGTTGGTTTTCAAGCATAGGTCTATGAGTTCCAGCACGTCAGTTGCGAGAACGTCTATATCACAGGACATCAATGGTTCTTCTGTGCATTGTTTTCCTACATCTAGACGCATCGGTGTGAAGAGGGACAACCATCGAAGGAAACTATTATTTCATCAGAAGAGATTGTGATTTCTTTCAATTTCTCTAGGAACTCTGTTGAGTTCTCAATTTAAGTTTCGCAATTCCTCGTAAGCGGATGAAGTTTGTGGAATAACCACTTGGAAACTTTGTAATTTGTTGCCCCGATTAATGATACTATCGGTTGTAGTGGGACATCCGTCTTGTGAACTTTAGGCAATCCATATATCTTCCCCATTTTTGTTTCATTTTGTCTCGGGGATTTCGCTTTATCTCCTGACAGTTGTTTTTTCCCTGTACGACGCTTCAGCACTTTATCAATAGATGAAAGCTGGCGAACTGGCTCTTCATCAATCCAACCCCCCCAGACTCTGTTGTCTACCATTTTAAGCCTATCCTGGTATCGAGACTGGGTGGGTTAGGTAGGAGAGAGTGTGATAGGTGCAGTGCAAGTAATTGTACCTGCGCCTACTGCGTTCTGTAGCACAGGGCGGACATCGTCGTTCACGAAGGTTTAACTGTCATATCAGGCAACATCTGGAGACAGAATTTCTGAGCAAACAAAAGTGATAATTTATTAAACAACTTTTGGTTCCTTAATTTTAATCTGTTTTAATCAGGAAATATTGGAGGTGGGAGAAGGCACTATCATGCAAAAATTCCCTGAATAATGGGGCATCACCGTTTGCGATAGTCGGACTGTCATATCAGTCGCCAAACGGGGACACAATTGCTGAGCAAATAATAACTTCCTAGAGAACTTTTATTTCCCTAGTTTTAATCTGCTTTGGTCAAGATTAATTAAAGAGAGGAATCACCTTCCTGAAAATAAGCGGCCCAGTGCCAATTGCTGCCTCAGTCTGTTAATTAAGACTATAGAATGACAATAATTTCCCAATTAAAATCCAGGGTGCTCATATGTCGTCTTCTGACTTGCCACAGTTGAATTAATTAAGACGTACCCGTTTACTATATTATTAAAGAAGCATTTGGTCCATTTTTAGAAGCCTGAAAAGGCTTACATAGACTCTGAGCTTGTGATGGAACTTGTCGGACTGCAAACATAAGAACGTTTTCAAGAGATAAAGCCGCCTAGAGTGATAAGACTTGTGGAGTATCTGTGTCATTTTGCCTGACTTATTGTGGATGTGTTGGCAACTTGGACTGACGCATCACGGGCTGATTACAAACAATAACCATTTTTATGTCGCTGTCTTTGGTACTAACACTTTCCAGTGGTCTAGGCTAAAGACAATGGAGAATATACTGCAGGTGGCTAATTTTCTAAGTCCGACTTTGTTTGGGGGACTTCCAGCTTCCAACAAATGAAGATTAAGCAGTATTTTTACAAGCTGGCTATTGGACGATTGTCGGTGCCATTTGACTGGGTCCAGAACGTCCGTCACGACTCCACGGGTGAAGGGTCAGAACCGCTGAGTAATGTTGTTCACTGGAACGCGTAGGTGATGGCCTACGAGAAAAAATTTCGGCAGAGCATTACTAATTCACAGCAATTTTTGGAAATGCCCGCATAAGCAAATGCCGACCAAGGGACGCTGAATGTGAAAATGAAGGCAAACATTAAATAAAGTAAACTGGTTTTGGTAAGTTTAGCGAGGGAGGATTGTAGTTAAGTACTGGCCGAAAAAGCAGAAGACGGACAAACTTTGAGAGACGGGATTAGCGACATTTCAGGCGGGGAGGTGGTTAGAACATCTCCTAGGAAATGGATCTAGTTAACATTGAAGAAGCGGACGGAGCATGGGGTGGTTGTTCCTGACTGATTTTTCCATAGTTTTCCGGTCATATCGGAATGACAGTTAGGAAGGATTTGGAACTCATCTTTTCGCCAAGTTACTAAGTTTAGTAGTCCGCAGCGGCCTGGAGTATAGGTAGTGCCAGTGGACGTTCCATTCTGTCCATATTCTCCAATACTTCTCAGCTAGGCTTATTCGCCGATTTGAGGTCTCCTGTGGGGTTACACACCTACCATTCCAGGACAAATTAAACGCTATTACCTCTCGCAAGCAGTTTATTTGGGCCAACTCCCCTCTAATGAGGCATCAGTTGAAATGACTGCGGAAAAGACTGTGTCTACTACCAGAGAAACAATTCAACTATTTGTATTGAACGACTGATAATCTTGGCCCATCAAAGTTGAAGGAAACTTATATGGTGTTGCATGCGCACTCGGTAAAGTGGGTGGAGAGGGGAGAGAGTGCGTTTTCATTTTGAATTAGACCACAATTTTCACTAATGATTTACTTGGAGCTGAGAAGAATAAATGAGAGATTGATGTCTCGCTATTGCCACGCTGAACAGTTATCAGTAGTGTCTAACTTGCGTCTAGAACATGGGCATGCAGCCCGCAAGCTAGGTCATTGAGTAAGGAATTCACTTACAAGGTCAGTTTTCTGTCTTGAAGCAGAGGAGTATTACTAAATGAATATGGGGATAAGTGGTAGCCCCACTTTTAGTGTCTGCGATGGGTTGGTTACGCTACGATATGACTTCTCGCAAGCAGTTTACCTTGGCTAACTATACTCTCATGAGGCTTCAGTTCAAGTAACTATACAAGATATTCTGCCTCTGACCAGAGAAACAACTCAATTATTCATACTGAACGACTGGTCACTTGGACTACTGAAAGTTGAAGGCAACTTATAAGGTGCAAGATATACGCTCGGTAAAGACGAGTACCTAAGTGATATAAATTTCATTCACTGATTTTCCGTGCCGCTATACATCAAAGCATATTGCATTGAAAACATAGTCAAAATAACGGTCCTTGTACTTATTTGGTGGCAAATCACATCCAAATGTACCTTGTCTTTTTCGGTATTCGTGCCTACAAATAGTTTATTGACTGATATATACGTGATCACATATATATATGGGTGGCTCAACATTTGCTCTTTCTACTAATGATTTTGTCATATTAGTAACTGAAGCTTAACTGTTGTGTTTGCACTATATGCTAACAGATCCGAGAGGCTTTTTGCCAAACATATGTACATTTATGGTGGTGTTGGAAGATATAAATCCCTAGGAATACCATTATTTAACCTCTAATTATGAATGCGCTATGCATATGGCACCTTTCCTATCGTTAAAATGAATCAAGTGGAAACGCTGCACGACGTTATCAACTCAGCACTACAACAGATCATTCTCAATCTCAAAAAAATTGACAACAAACTCCCATTTCTTGATCTGCTCGTAGTGCGAAACACTGACGGGATACTTCACACACCAGTGTACCGCAAAGAAGCTTGTGCGGAAAGTATCCTACATTACGGGAGCAACCTCCCTGCCAGTTGAAATAAGAATGTCATAAACAAACTGATTTATCGAGCAAAGACAATGCGCTGGGAACGAAGGTCATGAAGAAGAAGGCTGGGTGGCACCGGAACATGCTGTTTAGTGTTCTGAGCTTTTAAAGTCGTGCAAGCTTCCATCTTTAGGATAGTTGCAACAACAGAACTAGCAACACTTATAGGACTTACTAGCCAATCATCAGTCGATGGCGAAAGACTGGAGGCGACTGCACAGGGCTCTGTACACCGGCGCCAGATTGATAACTCGATTGACTGGGTCCTCATCCGAGGCCCAGGGTTTAATCAATTTTCATCCTGTCTTGTGTCTGATGTATGCGATTACCTTGGTGGCTGCGAAGTTTAACTCATGATCCATTCGTAGGCGTCGGTGACCACTTGCGATAACTCGTTACCTCTTCGCATAGCCATTTTATATTCGTGCATGCGCGGTCCGAGCATGCGTCCAGTCTGGATTGTCTAATCTGTTTTCGAGAAATGGCTACCATTGAGATTTTGCACGCCAATACATGCGACAAGGTGTTCTAACAAACGCTGGCGGGCAATAGGTATTATTAGAAATGTGTCTGAAATCGTTAAAAGACACCTGAGGAAGAATAAAATATAAGTGGTGCAGAAACCGACGAGACACCACGCAACAAGGCTGCATGTCCTAATGATAGAGTTGAATACTTGGATAAAAGGTATCGCCTGAAAGATTTCATGTAAAGCTAGAAAATAAGCCTCCAGACGTATAAAAGAACACCACTTGAGGGTAAGTAGGCGAGACAACTTATCCCAGGTCCACATGCACACGACTGAGAATGGTTATAAATTTGTTTGGTACAAAACGCGCATTGTCGGTTTCTGTCCATATAAAAAGCGATGAATATCTGCAGGTCATACACTCAGATAATTCCGGATTCAATGACACATTGATTTAGACGCCTTGTGCACAAATCTTAAGAAAGAATGGAAAAGGCGACAGCCAATCAAAATATGTCTTATCCCACAGCATCGATCCATTTCAAGAAATGATAAGGTAATATCGATTTTTCCGGGAGTGTTTAAAGTCAAATTGTTTCCCGCACCTACTCCACGTCTGATGACGACCTGGGGAACCAGAGTTAAAAGGTTACAAAATAAAGCTAATTAATTTTCTTAAAGGAGTGAAGTCCATCAAATTTCTGATGACTTATTTATAACAAAACACTCCTGGAATCCATGAACATTTGGCTTCAAATTTCACAATAGCCTTGCAGCCAGTGTACATATGTAGCACAGCCATTATCAGAAAAGTTAAATACTAACTCACCTTTAGCAAACGTAATCTGAAATCATCCAAAGTATGGATTAAATTGTTCGCATTTTTACTTGAATTACAATATGACTGGTTGGATTCCTGTAGATATCTCCCCATAACTTCGATAGGGTGACTCGGTATATTTTTTCGGCGCTCAAAAACCTATCGGTGACGCACGTCACAAAATCATCCATTTAAATCCCTTTAAGGGCCGAGTAGTGGCCCTGATGCTAGCTTGATATCGAAAAAGCGCATCGATGTGTGAACGCAGACCGAGCAGTTAGCAGGGACGTGCGCGTGCGAAGCCAAAACCTGACTGCCATTAACATCGGCCACCTGCGTCGACGAGGACAGGTCAGAATTCGTGGGTGGCGCATTTCTGCTGGAGGCAAACCTAAACGCTAGTGCCAAGATTGTCCGGAAATTTGCTGACAGACCGTATGCTTCAGCTAACTGTCACTGTATGCCCAGAAGTGTCTTTCCTTGCTGTTCATTTTTTGGCGTCTTGAAACGCTCGCCCTGCAGGTTTATTGAGCTGTAATCACAGAATATAGTTTGTTTAAAAAAAAATCAAATTAGGACATATTTTGTTGATTTCGCCTAAAACGTATTCGTATTGAGCGCGTTAACATGTGCGCAGGATTTATGCGCTAACGGAAATAAACGTAAATCTGCGCGGCCATTTCCTTTGATAAATGTCTTTTACTTAGACTGCAGCAGAATCCTAGGTTCTGTCTGGTTAACAAAACATTTTCTGGGTAAACAGTTTCCGATAGACATAGCAGCTGGTTATTTAGTGCCAGATTTCATGTTTTTACAAAGAACCAAAAACAGGACTCTTCCAATATGACCTTTTTGTCGAATAATAAGTTTCCACCATGACATAAAAAGCACCATGGAGGTGATCAAACGCAAAAATCTTAAATGCGTCTTTTTTTTCTAGCAAAAATTATCTGACACGTAGTTTTTATGGACGAGAGAGCACTGAACGACAGAAGCGAGGGATCATCTGTCGACTTGTCTGACTAATCACACGCTGAGAGAAATCACAAAAAACTCCCGAGGTGGAAATATCGGCTGCAATGGCGATATCAAAAACGAGGATTCATTGGCAGAAGGCAGTTTAAACAATCGCTACTCCGAGTTTTACTAATGAACGCAGCAGATATTTTTATGACTAAGGTGGCTGTTGAAAGTCGGACATTTACGCCCACATTTATGTTGAAACGCAATCTTTATCGATGTCTGTGAGGCGTTAATTAACAGGACAGAGAGAGATTGAGATGGTCGATTATGCGGTGCGACCCCTCATCAGTCAATCAGACTCTAATCCGAAATGTGAATGACGGGACTTCGACCCCAGTGTCATTAGCCATTGACGATCAAGTGGAACGCTATGCTGCAGAATGATGGGTTTGATAATTGTGATCGGAAATATTCAAGCCACGTTAGAGATAAAATTAATAATTTGTTTCGGTTATAAGCGTTAACTGATATTTCCGTTTTTCCGTGTCTTAAAACGCAATCTCATCGTCAGATGCAATTGATTATTCGGAGATGTAAGTGTCAGTAATGCGCCAGTGCCTTTCCCGCCTGATCCGAATGTTCCTGATCGTGGTGCAGAGGAGGTTGGCCCTCGAATGAGCTGATTTAGCATTTGACTGACACGCCTGATGACAGGTCGACCGAGCGTCGATGTCCCATTTGCCCGTTTTCAGTTGAACAGTGTCCAGCTGGTGACAGTAGGTGGGTCATAAATGGACAGTTAGAGCTCCGTTGCCCGAAATAAACGCTGATATGCATCCTATAGTCAGGATGGATAAGCAAACTCTTTACCCGTTTGGCTTACCTGCTGTTTATAATCTGGAATTTTATACTGTTGAAATGGGTTTTTTGAAGAATCCCGGAAGTTTATAACTGGTTCGTTTACTTTTGGACTTTAAAATCTATCGGTTTTTGTGTTGTGAAATGCGGATGAGCATCAGAAATAGGAGGTCCTGGAATGTTAGTTTAATGAAGCCTTGTCGTGCAAACTAGCACAGAGTTATGGTTTTCCAGTGTGAAAATTAATCAAAGCCACGTGGTTGTGTCCAGCTGGTCTAATTTTAATTAACGGTTGCATTTCTTTGAACATATTACTTTTAGGGGTATTAGTAAAACCGACAGGATTGGTGGGAGGACTCATTTTGGCTATATTACTGTCTTCAGGGAAAGCACTTAACCCTGAGTTACAGGTTCGCGCCACTACGGCTCACACTGGGGGGGGGGGGAAGGGTTGTCATACGAGGTTAGTGAAATGAGAATTCATCGCTTGCCATTAAGTTAAATGCTCACAAACTTCGCAGACGCTCGTGAGCGCTTGGAATACACAATTGATAAACAGAAATATACTCACGTATGTTCCGTAGTTTGTATTACTTAATCAACGCAGTTGAAATTTGGCAGAGTCCTTTTGCATAGATGTTTTGGCAGATATTTGAATAATTTATATTGACCCAACTGTGAAGAACTCGGCGCCTCAGTGGTATTCGAACCCGCGCAGTAAGGGAATGTCTTCAGTTCAGCCAACGTTCTAACCACTTGAGCTACGAGGCCCCCCGCTGGACGACGCGAGTTTACACACATTTGGATCAAGTTACCCGCCCAACCTACTGCAACGTCTGGATTAAACTTTCATCGTCCGGCGGGGCCTCGTAGCTCAAGCGGTTAGATCGTTGGCTGTATTAAGGCCTTCCCCTTACCGCGCGTTTTCGAATCCCACCGATGCGCCGAATTTTTCACAGTTGGGTCAGTATGAATTATTCAAAATCTGCCAAAATATCTATGAAAGCGTTTACTTGACTGAGGAAAAGAAAAGAGAAAATGCTTGACAAAACTTCCAGAAGTTTGCATTTATAACTAGGGAGATTGAGAGCCGATTTGAAATTCTTCAATCACTGCATAGAGTATACCAGAGAAAACGTTTGCAGAAGAGTCGTCTGTTAGATAGCCAGACTTATGAGCGAATAACTCGCGGCATCTATTTTGAACAGAAATTGATATCACCTTCAAGGAGGGTTTCTAAAACACTTGCTCTTCTAGCCAAAAGCCTGCCAAATTTTGACAAATGCCAACAGCGCAACATAAGTTAATCAGATGGTAAAAAGGGCAGCATTGAAGCCTTTCTGATTTGCCACAGTTCTCTGTGGGTGGCCAGAAGAGTAGGTAGACCGAAAAGTACTTGAGACAGCATCAAGTCTGCACATCAAAAAACCATCATGGTGGGCGAATTCCCCGTGGGAAATTTTAAGATTAGCAAACCGACCTCGCTCTCTTGAAGGGCGGATTTGCTGACTGCAGTTTTCGAGTTTTAGAATAGACTGCGAGGGAAAGAAAAAAGCCCGCCGCTGGAGAGCAAAAGGATTTAAAAGTTTAGACTTTGTTTTTTGCCTTTATAGCGATAGAAAAGCAAAAATAGGCGGAAAGTGGCAGAAAGTGGCAACAAATTTACAGTTCCACGCCAATGAAATCGCTTTATTCTTACGAAATGTTAGCCTAAATTCTGAAATGCGTTTTTTGTTAGTGGGGATTATATTACTGGGGTTATGATATTGGTAATCTTTTTTGCATAATCCCATAGTACTCCAGACACACAAAGGTGTTGCCTATGAAATGTACTGCTTTTTAACAGTCTGCAACACTTGCAAAGGGCAAAAACTGATGCGGGTTACAGGATATCATATTAGCGGCACAGGTACTATCCTAAAGCTCAGACGTAATTTTCTACCAAATGGGTAAATGATTAAATATTTGGTAAGATGTGGTTTGGTAGCCCACCTGATGGACAAAATACTGCTGGGGTTGGGGCTAAGGGTTAGGGGTTATGGCTTGGGTTAGGGTTATTGGCTAGGATAATAAGTTAGGTTTTAGGATCAGGGGTTAGCGCAACTAATACTCAAACATTCAAAGCACAACCGTGCATTTTCGATAGCTATTCATTTGCATACAACTACTTGACCTCGTCGCCTATGCGTTCCCTGGCCCCACCTGTAAAACCTGCTATTATCACTGGTCCCCAATTAGAGGTGATTAGGGTTTGTTTATTTCAGGTGGGGTTACATAAACACATACGGCCGGGTATTTTGTTTATGTTTTCTAAGAATTACACTTGGATTTATTAGGGCATCGAAAATCAGCGGGGAAATTCAGGCTAGTTATGTAGTCATTTTTTAACAGAGTGTTCGTTAAAAAAGTCTGGCATCCTGAAGTAACTGAATTATCTTGGAATTATGCTGCACGGTGACTAATATTTCAACCTTCTTTAAGTAGTCTTATCGGGTCGAAAACGCATTTCGAAATTTCGTTTACTACATATTTCACGAGTTAGCACATCTTCTGCATGTCGAAAAATGTCCGACACATTTATTACCCCCAGGACTGTTTGTGAAGTATATATGTTGTTAAAGCAGTTGACAGAGTTAGTAGACGGGGATGGGGCGTTTTGATCGCGGCACGGGCAATTACAGTTCATTCTCTTTAAGCATAGGCCGACAGCCCTAATGAGCGGCGGCCCAGCCGAACAGGCAAAACAATTATGACCGACACACTTTCTCTCGGCCGGTGTGGCTGATCTTTCATTCCTTTGTTTGGAGACACAGGTGAGAATGGCTTTTAAGCCGTGCTCTGCGCGAACTTCAAAAGAGACCCATTACTCTAATGGATGGCTTGTTAAAAATCCTGCACTTTATAGGTGGGATTTCTGGTGGCGTTAATTTTAGTCTGCAAACTTTTAGCGTTTATGCTGTCGCTAATCAGATAGAGTGATTTTACTGGACACAGCAAAGCTGATTGTCGTAAACATTTTGAACTATGAGTTGACTACTGCAGGGTTGTGAGTTTTTTTTAGGTCGCCTTCAGTTCGCCATCTCGACAAATCAAGTGATTACATTGATTTTTTTTGTGTTTGAAGTGAACTGCAAGATATTAATTCGCAGTCTAATGCGAATACTTTACATATTTTGTGCGTTTTAAAACTGCACTTGTATCCCGATTAGGCGGGCGGCATCCTGACGATTTTCTGTCCTCTACAAAAGTCGGAACGTCCAGTACAACTTAATAGCCTTCTGGGTGGAGTGAGGCAGAGGTGAAATAATAGGGACTGCGAGCATATTGGGGAAGCCAGGCAAAGATCTTGGATCCGCCCACGCAGCTCAAACTGGTGCCCAATGGCACAATCCAGACTCTCAGCTTGCGGTTCCCGATAAAGAAACTGGCCTTCATGGAGTAATTATGGTAACAATCGGGAGATGGCACCCAAAAAATCCGCCTAATCAAAGCAGCCCGTCTTACGAAACAGGTGGTAATAGGGGTTTTATGGGTGGTGGCTGGTCGGGATGTACGATACTTGCCAACGGAAAGCCTTATTTGAACAGATGAATGATCGAAGTTGGTTCCGTTATTACAAGATGGGTCGCCAAAGGCAGTATAGTTGTAACGGACGAGTGGAAGGCGTATAATCGTCCTTCCTCAGAAGGTTATCTACACTTGCCTGTTAACCACTCAAAAACGTCAAGGACCCTACCACCGGACGGCACACCAATATCATTGAGGCATACTGGAGTAGACTGAAAAGGAAACTCCACGAGTGAGGACCTGTATGTGGTCGAGATCTGTGGGCTCGCATAGACAAAGTACAGTATCGTCTTTGATTTGGGCTCCATGCCAAGTCTTTGACAGATGCCTGGGAACTGTTCCTGTCCCATGTTGTGCAGACTCATCCTATTTAAAAGTGATTTTGTTTTGTAATAAACTGCCATAATGCGAATGTATGCCGTATATTCAGGTGTACGTGTGTAACGATGGGGAAGGTAGGGTAACAGCGACCATCGTCCATGTAACCTCCTGCGATGTTCGTTCGGCCAGCCCATGCTAGACCGTCGGGGAAAGTCGAAGTATTGCGTGAAAGTAGGACCGCAACTGCTGATATAGCCTAAAGGCGTTTGAGTCCACTGGTAAAGGTATTATTTATAGGTAACGGAATTTTGTGGGTGCCATCTCCCGATTGTTACCGTAATTATTTTAGACAGAGGCGACTCGGGACAGAGCAGCTAACATCGGTCGCATTGATGTCGGGTGCAGACCCCACCAGTGTGCATATGGAACGTCCTCAGTCTTATCAGGCTCTGCGTTATTGCCCATGGAAAGATGAGGACGAAGCTGTTCGGGCCGAAGTCATGAAAACCGGCAAGATCCCACCCGAAAACGAGAGTTAAAAGAAGTGACCAGACGGAAGAAACTGTTCGGATGATCGGCTACTCTCACTCTTGGCGACGACTAATTGCATACCATAGGCTCACCATGTAAGCAGTTGTCAGTTTTCGAAACGTTCGTCAGGGAGTGGGGACTGCGAGAAGAAATCGAACCAACTCGCTGAAGCCTAGCGAAATTGACACGTCTTTTTCATTCCTGCTTTCATTTTATGCATGTACCACTTTGAGGACGGCGAGTTTTCCAAGATTTTCGATATGTTAACATTAAAAAAAACTATATGCGACAAATCATAAGATCTGTGTAAGTTTTGTCGAAAGATTATTGTTTGTAAATTATCGGATAGAACGAAGTAAACACGTAATTTCCCAGTCTGCTCAAGATAGTAATCATTGGCCAAGTGTCAGACAGTAAGCCCCCTGACACTCAAACCAACCTCCGCTAAATTTGAATTTTGCCAGGCTTGTTTGTGCTACTGCATGCTGTGTGGCCGAGAGTCAAGCGTCTTCCGAGGAGATAGTACTGGTTCTCCAATGATGCACTTAAAGCATTAGTTTTCTTTGGAGCTTGTTGGTAGGTGTTCGCGTAAACGCGTCGGAAACTATAATGATACTCGAAGGGAAACCAGTGCTTTTGCTGTCTACAATAGAAATAAAAAAATGACGATAAAATTGTCCGAGATTTTAGTTACTGAGTCTGTAAAGGGTTTGGTGAAGAGTCCTCCCTCACCGGCTCATTTTACGTCCTCTCCCCCATGTATTTCTCTAGAGTCACATTAGCACTAACAGACCAGACAGGTTTTGATTCGTTCGCTGCGTTCTCTGGTCGCGTCTGGGGATTAAAACATTACGACAAAAAGCAGATTCCTCACCACAATGTATCTGGCGCGCTCGAATCTGGCATGATGCGCCAAAAAGAGTGAAAACTTGATCCTCATGGTGTGTATTTGTCTGTCCCCGAACCGGGCCACGCGACCAATACACTGGGTCGACGCACGTGTTAGCTCGGAGGCTCGCAGGCGCTAAGGGGAATTTGAACCCATAACAAATGCTAGCATTTGGGGCGTGGCAGCAAGACCGTGTGCAGGATCAATCCACGCCAGTTAGGACATGTGCCACATCCCGTATTTTACTTCTGGTCTGTAGGCAGTGGACCAGAAGGTGTGGTGGCACGCCTCGATGCGGGATCTCGTCGCGCCGCCCGTCCGCCTGCATTCTCTACCGCCGTCGGTTTTCTCAACTCTGTCTTGGCACCGCAACCAGCTGGGGGAGAATTAGAGAGTGCAACAGATGCACTGCTAGTATACTGTAATCCAACTCACGCGTAAGTTATAGTCCCTGCTTTTACCCTCCTGTGGAGCACACGGCTGACTTCGTTGGTCACGACGATCGAGGAGTGACTGACCTGTTTGCAGGGATTCAAGTTCAATGACTTTTAACTAATGTGACTTCCCCCCGGTACACTCACGGCCGTGGTATGTATGTCCTCCTTTCAATGAAAACCTGTTACAGTGTGTGGGGTAGGCCCAGACGGGTCGTTTAGTTTTATCAGCCACCTCTGGCGGTCTTGACGTCGTCTTGCCATCGCAGTCAGACGGGTTCGGGAGGGTAGAGTGCTGTAAACGTTGCTGAAGTCATCGCTGCTACAACCAACCCGTGAATCACACAGTGGACGTCAGCACTGGCGACAGTCGAGCCGCTGTGTCATATTTACACCTCACTCATCAGCCTGGTCGGTCACTTGCAAATCCATCTCACAGAGACTGGCGAGCCAGCGCCAGAAGCACAGACCTACACCCGCCGGATCAGTCTCCATTGCCCACACTGCCTACGCAAATGCGTGCACCGCATGGGTCTATTCGGCTACATGCGCATCCGCAAAAAACTGCGATAGACAATCGCCTGAAGCACAACATCATCACATTCTCCCTCATCAACATCTCCTCGCACATCAGCATCATCCACCACAAGCACGCAGTTGTTATCTCCTGCGCCTATTGGAAAGTGTGTACCTCAACTCGGTCTCCATGCGACTCCTCTTGCATGAGTGAGTCGAGCCTGAGACTGTCACGGCGCGCCAAGCGTCATGGCTGGAAGGCTGTTGACTGACGCCCCAACTCAGTCCACGCAATCCGTAGAGTTTCGTGTGGGTTTTTGTGGAGTGGCGGACTGGTGAGCTGAGAGCCGGGCTGAAACATCTCCTTCCAAACTTGACCACGGCACCCTCACGCATGTGAGATATACGCAGCCCAATCCCCGTTATGTGGAATTCTGGTACTTGTGCTTCTTGGGAGGGGCTGATCGTGTATATGGCGCGGGCAGACGAGGTCACTAGACGACGTCAACTATCGCGCCCATTCTCCGCTCCAGTCAGCTGACCGGCTCAGACAGTGGCTGAGGCATGGGAATAGGAAGGGAGAGTGAGGTCGACGACTCAGCGCATTTTCCTCACTATAAACAATCTGACGCGCTTGAAGCGATCAAGGTGCGCCAAAAGCCGTGGCGTGGAAGGTTGCCAGCTGACGGGATAAGTTGGACCTCGCAGTTGGCCCAGTGTTATGTGTGCTGCAGTTGTTGAGTGGCTGGCTGGTGGTCTGAGAGTCAGGCTGCAATGGCTCCTTTTTAATATGGCCTTTATGGCACCCCCACACCGTGGGATCCGAGCCGGGTGTGGCGGCACGCCTAGGTGCGGCTTTGGTCGTGCCAGCCGCCGTTCTTTTATCGTTGATGTTCAAAGACCTTGCTATCTTTGTGTGGACCATGGGGTGTGGAGATGTGCGCCAAGTTGCGGGCTCAAACGTGCCACCCACCCCCGCCCTCCCCCGTCTCCGGTCTTCTTGACTCTGTCTTGACACCGGGTCCAGATGGGGGAGGAGGTGAGAGTGCGGTAGATGCTGCGCAAGTCTGCATTTACTATAAACTAATACACGCGCAAGTCACTGTCCCTGCTGCGTCCTGCTGTGGAGCGCTATCGTCGTATGCGACGGTCGAACCATCGTATTTGTTAAAAACTTGTATTTTTTTAATTGCTGAAAATACGATGTGCCACGAGGTTCAGAATGCAACCAGGAATAACTAAGTAATCTCCAATAACAAAAAACCCAGGTGCAACTCAAACATGCCAGTTAAATCAATTACAGCGCATTACGGGAATTAGTATGTGGTCTAAAAACGATAATTCTCGACGGAATGGGAGAATTCTGAGGTAACTGGTAGGTGGGTAAGGACCTGGGATTCTGCGAAAGAAAATTAACCTTCTGGAATATTCGCACTAAGGCGATACCAAATTTACCGTCAGAATGACATCCCAATTGCAAAGGCTTGTATAGGTATTTCGGGGACTCCGACTCAGAACATGTGCAACACCCTGTGCTCGGCATGTTTTCAGAGCAATTGACCGTCGTAGCCTACTTTGCTCCCCAATCTTCATGCACAGAAACGTTATTAGGTGATAAGCCTAATTTTCGTTGGGCATATAATGCACTGCAAAACCAGAAAGTGCTGCTAGTTGAGCCAGAGATTTTGTTAGAATCTTGTTCTCTTTGTACCGAAATTTCGTTGCTATCACCACCACCACCACCACCACCACCACCACCACCACCACCACCACAGAAGTCATGCCCACCTAATAACCTCTTCAAATATTTCTTCAGAGTGCAATCCTGATCGCAATTGTCTCCATCGCGGCAGGCATGCTGAACGTACTCTTCTGGGAGGTAGCACTCGATACAATGGCAGTCGATCCTCTGGAACAGACATCGCCGGCTGCTGGTTTGCGTCCCAGTCCCCTTCGTCTGAGGTGTCGAGTTGTTGGCGGATATCCCAACATCTTCCGTCTGCAGTTCATGGCGAATCCGCCAGACGAGGCAACCGGGCGCAGACGGGACGTCGGTCTGACCTACGCCATCTACCTCTGGTCCCTCAACCTCACGATCTTCCTGCCGATCGCCCTGGCCTCACTGGCGATGGCTTTTCTGTTGCGCAGGCGCTGGCTCAAACGTGCGGAGGCGGGACTGCAGGGCCAGATGGCTGATCCCATCTACTGCGAGGCGGAGAAAAGGCATCCGCTTCGGTTGGATGGTCCCGCAGTTGAAGAGACCGACCAGCTCAAGCTATCCTGTGCCGTCTGCGTTCTACATGGTCTTTTTAGTCTGCCCATCGCCCTGCTCTTTATGCTTCTACCGGTCTCGGTGCCGGGGGTGAACGAACTACCGGACAAGGAGGTGAGCAGAGCACTTATATATATATGCTGATTGGACGTTGACCTGTTTTTTTTTGGCAGCATTAAAAAAAGTAGAGTGCCGCTTAAGAAACCGACCGGAAAGTTTCCTCCGGAGGGTCTGCATGCGGTCGTGTTGGAATAGGCTGAGGAGTATTCTGGTTTCTTTTCAGGTTAATGGTTTCATGTGAGTTGCCTTTCCAGGAAGGGGACTTGCGCAGCGCATGTCGCATCTCTCTCCTCTTCTCACCCATCTTGCTCCGCTGGCTAGTAAAGACCGTTGAAACGACGGCTGACAAAGTTAAACAACGCATCTATGCGTGCCACACACACGACCTGATCCTTACCACATGGCCGTGCTGCGATTGCTGTGGGTTTTAGATCGTCTGTGGTGACAATACTATAAAGTTTGCACAAGTAACCATTACGAAAGTGCAATCGTTTGTGACAAAGACGAGTGGTCTCGTCAGTCGCAACCCCCCACGTAAGGACACTCAGACGGCTGTGATAGGTTTAAGCTTGCCAAGATTATTATAATGAGGGGTGCAGTAAGTTGCCGCGAAGATGACTTCTCCAATGTCCAGCTGATATTCTTTCCCCGTTCCAATGCATCAGTCGACCGTCCAAGTCTGTTCGACAGTGGATCATGGGATTGGTTGATGTGGCTAACGTCTAATGAGGGCCAGCTGCATGTGCGGCAGCAAGTGAGGGCTTGATTAAGCTCGGCACAGCCAAGTAAACGGTCGTTGTGAGCCAAATCGTCCTTTATTCTAATCCGGCTCATCCGCAACGCAACTCTCTGGGGCGACCCTGAATAAATACACATTAGGTGTGCTAACTCATGAAATGATAACCGAAATTCTGAAATACGCTTTCGTTTCGAAGATGCTACTTAAATAGCGTTGCAACATTGATCATCACGCGGCGTAATTCTATTAAAAGTCAGTTACCTCAGGATGCCAGCTTTTGAACGAACTTCTTGCCGGCCGCAAGCAAAAACCATACTCTGTAAAAACTGACCACGTATGTACTACGAATTTTTCTCGTTGATTTTCGATTCTCTTAAATTTTCAGTTATTTTTCATAGTAAACACCCATTAAAGTATTCATTCCTTTACTCTTTTGGTAGCAAATCACGTCATCTTCCAAATTTATACTCAGAGAATGATTTTAAAGAAGATGCTAATTATGAGATTTTAAATAACGTAAAATGACCGTTTGTAAAAAATCGTGTTTCTTCATTTGCTAAGGTGGCTTGTAAAGTTTGCAATATGACTCAAATAAACTGCTATATTTTATGGACTTCATATGGTGTCCTTGTTATGCCGTAGAGAAATGTACGGTTTCCTGTACGCGGAAAATATATGGCTTGTAGTGTGGAAGCCCTGAATGCAAGTTTAACGGTAGTTAGGATAAAATTTATTTGCGAATTGGAAAAGTTTTTGAAAATCAAATTATATCCTTTATGCGAGTACAAAAATGAAAGTAGATTTTTATACCGAATGGATATTTTTACATGTGTTTTTTTATGAAATATGACTGAACGTTTAAGGTCATCGAAAACCAAGGAGAAAAGCACATGCTACTTAAGTAGTCATTTATTTAAAGGTATGACTTTTGCATGCAGCCGAAAATAAGTTCGTTCGAAAGGCGAGGTACCTGACTTATTACAGAATTATGCTGCACGGTGGTCAGTCTTACAACGTTACATAAATAATCTTTCCGAAAAGAAAACGTATTTCAGAATTTCGGTTACTAGTAAGTGAGACGTCGGACTTCTAACTGGCAGGTCTTGAGTTCGAGTCCCGGCTGTTCCACACTTCGGGATTGGGTATAACTGGCTCGAGAGAAAGCCCTTAAGGCACAACGGAACGAGTGAGTTCCGTATGAACGATCGGTGAGCGACCCCTACCATTATACATGTATATATATTACGTGGTTATTCCACAGTAGTTGATTGTCTTCGACTCGAATCTTCATTGAAATGAGCTTTTAGCAGGTATCTATGTCAGGAGTACGGTATAATTCTTTACCGTATACATATATTCCAGTTTCCCGTTTCTTTTCCGGAGATACCATTCTGCCTATATATATGCCCATATGTACTTATGCATAATAAGAACCTCCGTTGGAAGTATAAATATATTTTGCTTATTTGGACCCTTCGTTGGACGTATGACGTATGTCCACTATGTCTCGCAAAACATTTGCCCTTCACAGACTTCTTGGCTATGAGATGAGACGCCAAGTTTTAGCTGACGTAAACACCCCCATCGGCGAGTGCTAGGGAAATGGTTTTTCCTTCCATGCAGACCAACCAATCGTCAGACTGCTAAAGTAATTTGTAAACGAGTCGAAATAAAAACGGTCATATTCAACATAACTTAGACGAACAATTAACAAGAGCCATCTATCGAGCATCGTCAGATTGAAATACTCATTCGACGAGGCGTTGCATTAACGTTGACTATGGTAGCGAACCTACTCCTCTATGTCCCCTGTATACAGCATATACAAGACAAATATAGATGGCAATCTGAAATTTGTGACAACTTTTTCGATTTTAAATTAGCCATGTAGCTGCTCAAAATCAATACGCATTTTTAATGCTAGAGCTATCACTCAGTTCTCCTTATTCGCTATGTGATAAAATGTAGGTGCGAGTTTTTTTTTCAATATCGGAAATTGATTCTCATTTTTAGAGATCCTATGCATGGCCCCGTTAATGGTTGGTGCATGAAAACATTGTTTATATTCTTCATACGAGCATCAGCAGTTTCTACGATTATTAGTGTTTTTGTAGTCTCTGTTATGCTCATATAGGCTTTTGCAAAGGCGCTTGCATCATCCGTGGTTAGCCAGAAAGATATTGTCAAATTAAAATCAGAAAGACGCGTCAAGGAGAATTGCGACTTGCTAATAGAAGCTGTGGGTAAACCTATTCGAGTAAAAGTACTTATAGTTTGCGCAGATTACACATTCACAGGGCCAGAATCGGGAAGTACACTATCAACACGTTGATTTAATTGAAGACTGTCATATACAGACTCTCAGATTTTTTTACGAACCTTAAAACCAGTGTCCTGAAGGATCTTGGACCTAATACCAGCCTGCCACCCTTGATATTTTTTGTAGACTATCATCATCAGGTTAGTAGTTATATGTATGTTTTTTGGTTGCGGGCCAACAAGAAGCTTTCAATCTTGAACGTTTAAGAAATAACAATTTAAAATTTGGTTTGCAAAAAAATTCTGGGACGACAATCTAAGCTTGCTCCGTTGAGATTTGGAGTCTTTCCTCCTGTGTGGTAATTGATTTACCTGTTACTGACCTGCTTTATATAGCGTCTGAATTTCCCCTCGGCACAGTCAAGTTGTTTTCTTGTTTTGGGGTTAAATAACAGATTGAGTTACAGTTGTTTTCCTAAATACTTGCATCTTCAGTTGCGCAAATTCGATTCTCAGTAAACCGACAGTTCAGAAACCGAAATCGAATTATGCTGTCAAAGCTAGCTTTCTGTCCGCATGCAATACGTACCGTTATTCTTTAAACTTTTAAAGAAAGTTGAAAAAACGACATTTGAAATTTTTTAACCCAATAAACTAAGAAATTAACTAACTTAACACACATAAACATTTCTGATGTTTATTTAAGTGCCAGCGCAAACAGATTCCACCTTAAATCCAAAGGACCAAACAAGTGCACCCCTGAGTGACCGGTCCATGTGGAGTTCGCACACCAAAAATGCCGGTGAATGTTGTTACCGTAAATTTTCATACCATCAAGGCAATATTTCATGGTTGACGTTAACAAAATGAGTTACTGCGCTTTTGGTAGGAATATGAAGCATGCATAAACTGCAAGCGTTTTTCGGCGACACAGTATCGCAACAACCTATCGACCGTTGCCACGTACATGTCAGACATGCTGGCTGATCGAATGTGTTTTTAGGCGTAAATCTAGGGCAAAATGCATTCTACTTCATAAATACTGAATGCTTTAAAATTCTGTCAGTTCAAGTACTAGCAACATGGTCTAGTTGTCGAGAAGCGAGAAACACCTAGGATTAACATCTGCTGGACAGGTACTTCTGACAGGAAGTGTGGGCCTTCGGAATGACGCGCTGGAGCGCTGACAGGGGAGTCACCAGCTCCAACTAGAAAAGGATGTCTTGGGCGCTGAAAAAGGACTTTATCCGGCCGAAGTTTTGGATTTGCTCTAAAACATTCATACGATACAGCAACAACTGTGAGTAGTGTTCAGAAAAAATGGATTCCTGCGCAATATCGTTTACCTGTGCACGTGGAAACGAGACGACCGACAATATCGCGCCGAGTTCGAATTTTGGCGATCTATCCCGTATGTTAACAACGTCTCGGAGGCCGTCAGCCGCCTTCTCGCAATACGTGGAGGTGAAGCCATACACAGACTGGAGGCAACCATTAGGCGCCATACAATGAGACCAAAAGACCTTCTGTCACGGCAACAAACATTTGGAGCCGTTTACCGAACCTGATGAAGTTGCCGGCAAAGCAGCTACGTTGGAGAAACTGGAAGACTGCTCCGGACAGGAATGGTTGAACACGCGGCAGCAGTGCGGATAGCTGAGGTCAAAACTCCGGTCGCGGTTCGATGAAGTCAACATTATCACAGGAGGGATAGTCAAGTGAGCCGCGAATTTCTTGACTCATGGTTCTTAGGACCCTAGTCTATTAAAAAATACAATGAAATCCCCACCACATATTCGACATTGATACTTACAATGGTCAACGTGATTGACCACTCTGAGAGCGGGAAGACTGGTGGATCAGATGGCCGAGCAATAATCACGCCAAAATCCGATATGGGTGTTGGAATGTCAGGTACTTAAAACGCATGCCGGTCATCAAGCAATTAATGTATGATAGGACTGTCTTCTATGACCTTCTTAACAGGGCATGAGAACAGGAATCGCTTGCAATAAAAATGGCTTGACCCAACGTTCAGTGAACTTGCGGTTAGAGTTATTTTGAGGACAACGTTTAGGGCTATATTTAAAGTTGACGGTAAGTTAAGTCGGGACCAAGTTTAGGATTAAAGTAGGGGCTAAGGCTAACTGCAGAGTTAAGTTTTAGGGTTGGGTAAGGATAGAGGTTAGGACAACGTTTAGTCTCATATTAGGGCTAATGCTGGGGTTGGGACAATTTTGCCCCTTTCGGATATTTGCGCAGGTTCAGCTTTATTTCTTGGGGGGGTGGTTCGCATTCCCAAGTCCCGTTTAGGGGCCACATAAGACAGTCCTACCCAGAGCGCAACTATCCCTAATAAAGGGGAAAGCCGTTAACTGCCGTAGTTATGCATTGGCGACTGCAGTCTGTAGATACTGCAACTTCCTTTGCACTTATTACCCGTGTCTGCAACTGTCTGAAATGGTGGGTCCAAGCATAAAACCGAAACGTGGCAGAAATAAAGTTTTTTAATCCAGCGATGGCATTAACGTCTTTTGTACAAGTAGTGTGTCCGCAGAAGGTGCACTACTGAAGGGTTGCAGTCACTGAGCGCTGACATCGTCATAGCCACCTGTTTTTAATTTCATGCCCTTTTTGCAGGAATGGTGTAAATCCTTTTCCAAATATGTTACCGTCGAGGAAGCCAGTAAGTTAAGCAGAAAATTTCTTATTCAAACACGATTGGGAGGAGTACAGCTGGGGCTAACAAATGCGCTGAGGGGGGTAAACTGTTGGACTTCTAACATGAGTGGGATTGTCGATAGAAGCGAAGAAACTAGTCCCAGGAATCAGTTGTGAATAAGGAGACACGATCGGTGGGACAAGAGCTTTATTCGCCTGACGTTTCGGATTCCAGATAATAAGTTTGAAAAGGAATCCGAAACGTCAGGGAAATAAAGCTCTTGTCACAGCGATCGTGTCTCCTTATCCTCCAGCGGGATCGCTAGAAGGGGTGGAAAAACAGGGCAGAGCAACACCAACCCTGTGGAGAGGGTTTTCTGAGACTTGTAGCCCAAAAACAACCGAAAAAACAGTTTTGAAAGGGAAACAAAGTTCACTAATGTAATTGAATCCTGCGTTGTTCGAATCCCATCCGGGAAAATATCCAATCAATCCGCTAGTGGTCGCTTGTTGATATGGAACACGTGTTTTGTCGCCTCCCTGTCAGAAGTGGTCACAACTTTTCCATGAGAAATATTTCATACATAGATCGTCAAAAATAAAGTTGACCAAATAAAAATGTGCAGAAAGCACGCTAAGCGGCTGCGGTTCCGTCATCGATAGGATGCTCACTAATTATTAAAACGCCTTGAAAACCTCTGTCTGCTGCAAACTCACAATGTCTAAACATAGATGATTTGAAGTTGAAGATAGGCTCTCCGGAATTGGTTTATTTAAGTGCTGACGCTTCAAAGAGCTGGGTCGGCTTTTCATTGTCGAAGCGTAAAATGCACTTAATTGATTAAAAATTTAATTTAAATTGTCATGTTGTGTTGGCCGGCCTCATGCTGATCGATTTTTTCTCTCCTTCCGCTGCCTCGGCCTCTCGGGAGACGGTTGACGGGTGTTTTGTTTGTGTGCTTTGTGAGTCACCACTCCATCGAGGGGAGCTGATTGGACTTTAGTCGGGCGGTTGGTCTGGCGGTTCTTCTTCTTCCTCACCGAGTAAACTCAGCGTCGGGCTATCTCCGTGCAGCCTTCTTAAGTCCGATGCGGTTGTTTGGTCCTGAGCTCTAAGATTGTAAAGACGTAAGGCTTTGTAAGCTGCAGGAAGGTCCAGATGCCTGTTGATAGAGAAGGCATCGGAGAACCACGCCTCGAGAGTTAGCCGTTCTGTTTTTGTGTTGCCTCGGCCTAAGATGGTAGCCCTCTGGAGGTCAAAAGTATGCCCCGTTTCTCCAACGTGTGTTGCTAGTTGAGAATTAGGGTCTAACCTCCGTGTGGCCGATTTGTGTTCTTGTAGGCCAGTTTGCGATTTCCGCCCGGTTTCGTCCACATAGTTGCAGCCGCCCCCATTGCAATTTATTTTGTAGATGACTGCTGAGGTTTCAGGGGGGGGACAATGGGTCCTTGGGTTGAATCAGGCGACGTCGAATTGTTGCCTGTGGTCGATGAGCTATGCCTACTCTGGTGGGTTTTAACAGTCGCGAGACCGCTTCAGAGACCCCTTTAACGTAAGGAATGACCCTCCAGACTTCGGGTTGCTGCTCATTCGGCCGTCGTTTGGGCACCCAACATCTGCTTCTCTCGATGGAATGCCTCGGATAACCATTGGTTGCAAATAGTTTCACAAGGCACAATCGTTCGGCCCCTTTATCTCCTGGTGTACTGCAGTGTGTTTCGACTCTTTGGAATAGAGTGCGGACACAACTACGTTTGTGAGACAGTGGATGGTTGCTGTTGAAGTGTAGGATCTGTCTCGTGTCAGTGGATTTTCGGAATACTATAGTTTGCAGCTGTCCGGAGTGGTACACCGGCGCACAAGTACGTCAAGGAAGGGCAGTTGGTTGTTTGTTTCTGCTCCCATCGTAAATTGGATATCCGGATTAACGGAGTTCAGTAGTTCCTTTAGATGTTCAATGCCAGTTGTTTTGACAACGAAGAAGGTGTCATCGACATGGCGGGCCCAGAACTTTGGTTGATACTAGGTGAACACCAGGTGTTCTACCCGTTGAAGAACTACGTCAGATGACGAATAAATTCCACAGAGATTATTCCTACTAAAATTTCCAATTAAACAGACGGACTAGTTTTCGAACGGGCCGTCTTGCAACCGCCCCTGTAAACTGTGCCCGAAATCAACGCACTGCTCAAATAACATGCGTGAGATGTGCGCATGGGCACTTAAACTGTCTGCTTACTTGGACAATACGAATGCATTTCAGGAGACTGTGACGTAAATTGCATTTGAAAAGTCAAGTTGGCAAACGCTTGTTTTCGGTAATTCTTCGTCAGGTCAATACAATTACATGACGGAATGAAAACGTACAAAATCATCGGTTTAAAAGAAGGCGAAGGCACGATCACTGGGACAGTAGGTTTATTTGCCTGAGCTTTCGAACTTGAACTAGAGTTCATTAGCAGAGACTACTGGAGGGCAGCAAATTGTGAACATTTATATCGTTCGTCCTTGCGGGGGGGGGGAGAGGGGAGAGGGAGTACCTCCGTGGCTAGGTAGGGTTTGTGCCGCCTGGTCCACGATGTTCTCCCGGCGTGGTGACGCCGTTTGTACTTCGCGACGGTGTGAGCTGCGCCACCTGGCTGCGTGGGCGGAGCGCGTTATAACACGCCGGCAAATCGATGTGTCTGTTGATAGAGTTGGTGTCCGACACACATCGCCTTCGCCTTCTTTTAAACAAGAACCTGGGATGCGCATATTCTCTTTCATTCGTGAAAATCATCGGTGTTTATAGGTGTCTCAAGGGCTATTAAGTCATTAACACTTATCATCCCCACGCCGCATGCATGATAAGGTTGATGAGTGTTGGTCGTCAGAGCTAGGGGAGGGGACTAAGAGAGTCTTCGAGCGATGTTCTTGGATAGAGTACACGGACTACTCATTATTGTAATTAGGGATTTGAGGCGCCATGTCATCATCACTTGGGATTGGCGTTGGCCACGGCAGGGAGAGCGCTTGTTTCAGGGATTTCGGACAGTATAACGCCGGATTCGCTAGCCGCAAAGCCACTGTCTCGGCCGTTGCTAGTATCCGTTGACATAGGCCTTTAGAGAAGCATGTTGGGGTCCGGTAGACAATCTGAAATGCTTCCTTGACATCGACACGGTGATCCGCATCGATTAAATGTGCGAGAATAGTACTCGAAATCGACCGGTCACCTCTGTCCAGCCAGGCGGACATATGTTCACACAGCCTCTTTACCAGACGTCTCGTTGTGCGGCCAATGTATCCCTCTCTATAGGAGCAAGTCAATGAGTAGATGCACATTGATGTGGCCTCCAACGGTAGTCTGTCTTTACCCCCAAACGCAGGAGGGGAGAGTTTGTGAAGCATACTCGTAAATTCGCCGCGGGAATGTCCCCGTGATGGCTGTAGTTAAGCGCCGTCTGCATAGTTCGCTCGCTACGTCCCCTGCAATATGCATCTTCCTTTTCCGCCGTCGCAACAGTGGGCTTTGTGGCGCGTTCTCCAATATTTCGGAGGATAAATCTATCCGGGTATCCGTTCTCCCGAAGTGTGTTCCGCAGCTTTTGGAGTCCTTCTTCAATAGCTTCAGGTGAGCAGGTGCGTCTCACTCTAGCCGCCAATCCCTGGACTGATTTTCTTTTTGATATATAGGGGAACAAAACTGTCGAAAATAACGTACTGTCCCGCCCAGGTTTTCTTTCGGAACACCCTGCGCTGGATAGACCCATCCTCTTGCCTAGGCAGAATGACATAGAAGAAGGCAATTTCGTTATTTGCCTCGGCCTCTGCAGTGAACGTTAGCAAGGGGTGCGCACTGTTGAACTTTTGGACAAGATCCTTGGTATTGGTGATACCATCCGCCAGGCACAATGCAATAAATTGCATTTATTACAGGTTTGAAGAGCGGCGCCGGCAAGCATCTTTATGAGTTGGCGTCTTCATGTACATGCAATATGTACATGCACATCCATTTCAGCGATAATTTTGAGAGCACAGATTAAGGACCTCGTGAGAATTCAAAAATGTAGATCAATTTTCGTAGTATGCAGGTGATCGAGCTACTAACTCCTGTCAGAGATGTTTTCTAGGCAACAAACAACGTTTAAAAGTTGGAACAAGATGTGAATTATGGCGTCTCTTTCGCCATGGCAGGAATAAAAATTCACAAGCATCAAAAAGCGATTTCTTTCAGCCGCAGCGGAGTAAACGAGCAATATTCATTAAACGGCCCACAGGCAGCTAGTTGTGTATGCTGTAGTATGGGATACCATACGGGCAGTTTAGGTGCTAGCTTCAAGCCCAGAAACGTGTTTCTTTGATATCCTGTCACTGAGTGACACAGCTATGAGACGTTTGGCGCATTTATGAATCCCACAGCATTCATCGTGTGCTTTCGGACAGATAATCCAGCTTAGGAATCGTTGTTTTTTTAATTTTTTCAGAAGCTAACCGCCAACATGAAATAAGTCAGTTGAAACTAAGTTTTGTAGGCGAAGATCGAAATTTGCCTCCCTATGAAAATGCGACATTAGGTGCACATTTATTTCATCGGTAGTTTGAAGCACACAGCTTGTTAGTCGTGAACAAACACTACAGGCAATAATAATGTTTCTTGTATTACATGGATTTAAATCTACCACCTACGCACGATTTACCAGATTAAAGTCCGAGACTTCATTACACATCGTGAAGTTGTCTACAATTGCCGAATTTGTAAAATGTTGTCAGAAATTTAATGTGGAAAAGAAGTTTCGCACTCCTAGGAAGCGGATGCAATTGCTGGAGCAGGCAATTTACTGGCCTGAAGTTTTGACCAAGGAACATCTTTTTCAAGCAAGCGCATCTTCTTCTAAACCGTCTCCAGGATCCTTGTTTCCTTTTTTGGCGTTTTTTGTAAAGAATGCCCAAAATCGTAAACGAGTCACTGACACGCTGAAACTCGGCAAACTCTACCGTCACCAAGACACATGTCACAATTTTACAAAAAAAGATTTTTTTGACACAATAATTTCCCGTCTCTGGTGTCATCCACTCATTGTATTGTAAATGTTTGGTCACCGATCTACACTTTGCTATAAGATTTTATGAATAATTGCATTGACGTAGCGTCCTCCGCATTCATAGCCTCCTCACCGCAGCGAACCGCCTTACAAACAATGCATGTTTTTTATGGAATATAACTGACTTTGTAAGGGCATTGAAAACCAACGAGAAGAACTCATGCTACTTAAGTGGTCGTTTTTTTACCGAGTGTAGTTTCTGCACTGTATCGTCGTAATCAAGGTTGCCAATGTAACCGCATCTCCGTTCACATTTTAAACAGTTGAGTACTATTCAAAAATCAAGTTATTCCGTAGGTTACTTACATTTGACACCAGGAAAATTAGAATAGTTAGCGCGTGGACCGAATTTTATAAACCAATGCTACCAATGTGTACTTTGCTCAAGGATCCAGTTTAAATGAACAGATCTTTCTCGTCAAACGGGTATTCGAAATAAGTTTTCTGTCCACAGTTCACTGGGAGATGTCCGTCTCGACCGTCGTTAGGCAGGCGTCTGAAAACATGCCTAACCAATATGCAGTAGTGAATGAATAACTTTGCAACATTGGTCAAACTTTGCCCACTCAATTTCATCTACTTAAATGTATGCTAAAGTAGTTCTGTCAATTGTCGGCAGTTTTCAAGGCCGAAAGTACTTTTCAGTGGGAATAAGCGATCTGTTCTCAGCGGTTAAATCATTTTCATATGCATTGCTTGAAAAAACAGAGCATAAGCCTCTTTGAACTTGAGAACTAGGTGCAAACGAGCTCCTGCCTTTTTCGCAAGGGTCAGCAACGAAGCAGACTTTGAAGAGTTTTAGAACACCTTCTTGCGAGACATTCCTTTTTTATGAGACAGCCCAACCAGATGCAGTGCTTTAATACGAACGTGAGCATCTGCGGATGTAGTGCGGGATTACCGTCTCGTCTTTAATGGCAGTAAACTAATTAAAGAATTTGCATGCATAATGCGATTACTGACTATTTTCAATCGCTCTGAATTCCGCCCAAGGAGGTGAGGGCGGGAGAAGTAGCTTTGCCATCTGTCTTAATGCAACTAAAGGAAAAGCGTCCCCCAGCCGAAGTTAGAGGGCGTCTAAATTCATGAAAGATAGACGATGTTTTAACATAACAACTGCCTAACTTCCATGGTAAGAAACTGGGATAAAGGCAGGACAATCGATATTGAAGATGGCGCAGGGCTCAATACCCAGCCCACTAATTAATTCAGCGCAGTTGCTGAGATATAAATGCAGATACACACACTTACTACAAAGGTGGATTTGAAGCGGAAATGTTGGGAGTGTTTTTATCATAACGGCAGACCTGTCATCCCCGTAAGTGTAAAAATCAGAAGCTACTGAGCTGGCCTTTTAACGAGGACCTTATTCGACAATGAGCATTTGTAGACAGTTGTCAAATGATAGCATAGGTATCCAAGAGACTGGTGTATGTCTAAAATAAATAGATATATGACATATCGTCCGAAAAATTGATTAAGACCAGATTTCACAGATTTATCCAGAGAAGTGAGACGTGTTGCACACAAGCGTACTAATTAGGCAACTTTTTTTAGAGATTAAAGTGAAAATATATAAATATTTTTGAATCACTATAGAACCTTTTCAGTCATACGCAGAAGTCGGGATTGTAAACGAGTTCACCAGGAAAATTTTACCGTCTGATTAAATTAAAGCCATTTCGCCAAATAGCTTTCCTTATATATATGCATATATTAAGAAGATAAACTTCTATGAGAAACTGCAAATTTTATTGTATAAACTTCCAAGGCTGGTCCCCCAGATCGTCTTCAAACTATGAGTACGCACTGGAACAGATGCTGACCAGTCACAATCCCTTGTTAAGCCCAGTTAAGAAGTTAATTGTTTTAACGCACCTATAGTCCGGAAACGAGCTGGGGAACTATTATCCAAAAATTTGTACATTGGAAATTTCAGCTTCGCAAGGAATTTCATCTTCTTTGTTAAATTTCGTAGGATGTCCGTCTTCTAATATATATAAATTTGTACGTCTTTTTTAATACTGTTTTTGCGCAATACTATGCGGTGCATTTTCTGGATTCACTCCTGATTTGTTATTACTTAAAAACCAGGCCAGCAAAGGTCCATCTATATTTTTACGTTTCACAAAGTGTCCCCGCAATTCATTTTCTAGTATCGTAAATAAAAATTGGCTTCCAGAGTTCGTGCCCACTCTCAAATGCCAGAAAAACTCTTTTTCAGAACCCACACGTAATATATTATTGAAAAAACGATTTGTGCATATATTCTGGAAGTTGAAAATTCATTGAAACGTCTACATTTGTTGCTGACTCGAAATATGTTTTCCAATTGCGGTGTCTCAGAAGACTAAAGGATTCTCTGCATCTGTTTAACAGATTGCGAATTGCTTTAAAGTGGATTTTAAAGGCGTCTGGACTTTTTAGAAGCCAAGGTCATGTATTAGAATAAAGTTGAAGTGAGTTTGTACCTAAAGTTAGTTTTTTTCGTGTTTTCCAAACTATGGGTATTATACGCTCAAATCTTTAAATGAGGGTAATTTTGTTAACGAACCTCTTTTGTCATGTGATTAAAAGAAGCAGAGGTCGGTGCTAAACTCTGTCAGAAGTATAATGTGCAATAGTTACTACAGTGGCAGTGGAAAGCCAAACTGCCAGTTTATATTGAGCAGACTAACTTCTAGTTTGCTCTGTCTACAGGTTTGCGTAGGTGTACCATTCTTTTTGTTATATACCGCCAAAAATCATTGTTGCATGACGAACATCTTGCGAGTTTGATTTCCCGAGTTCTGGGCCTTCAGCTAGTGCCAATGTCAAATGACAAATGGGACGTGAATATGTATGGTCCCTCGAATACGCCCCTCGAAAGTGCCCTTCAGTGCACAAAAATAGGCAGAATGCGCAAATAGATTTTTCCTTTCTGGATATTTAAAAGCATCAAGTTCCACCTCCTAAAAGTTCCCTTTTATCATCTTTTATATAATGCAGGTCGCCTTACACCTTACAGTGGATGTGCTAACCATGGAAATGTTGACCGAAATTCTGAAATGCGTTTTCTACTCGAAAAGATCGCTCAAGTAGGGAAGTAATATTAACCGATGTGCAGCACAATCCCATAATAATTCAGCTATTATAGGGTGTTGGCTTTTAAGCGAACTTGTATCTGACCGCCTGCCAAAACTACATTCTGTAAACGATAACTGCCTAATAAGTATGGAATTTTGTAATTAGTTTTCCATGCTCTTATGAAACTTTACATATTTCGTAAAATATATATAAAAATAGTCACTCTTTTACTCATTAATGAAGCAGTACATCTTCTTAAAATTTTTCATACTTAAAGAAAATGTCTAACTCGAGTTTAAAATTTTATAATATATGAATTACTAAAGACCTTGAAATGCCTGTTCATGTAACATCATGTCTTTGTATTTGCTAAAATTGTTTGCAAAGTCTACAATGTGGCTGAAATCCAGTGCTAAATTTTATGAAGCCCCTACGGCTTCCTCCTAATACCGTAGAATAATGCATGAATTTTTGTACACGGAAAAGCCTGAAGTTTATAAACCATTAGTGGCAGTATAACGACAGGCTGGGTTCCACATTACTTGAGAATGGGAGTTTTTAAAAGCCGATTTGTACCCTTTCTTCAAGTATAAAAATTTGAAGAAGACGTAGTGCTCCATTAAATGAATAAAAGAGTGAATACATATATATATATTTTATGAAATATATTTTAATTCATAAGGGCATGGAAAACTAATGATAAAACTCATACTAACCGAGCAGTTACCGTTTACAATGCATAGTTTTTGCAGGCGGCTTGAGAAAGTTTGTTCAAAAGCTGGCATCCTGTAATAACTGCACCATTATGGGACTGCGTTGCACATCGGCTAATATTACGACCGTACTTTAGTAATCTTTTTGAGTCGAAAACGCATTTCAGAGTTTTGGTTAAAATTTCGCTAATATGCACATCTTCTATAGTTCCAAAAAGTGCGCATTCCGTGCCCGACTCTGGAATCTACGCGATCATTCTGCATAAGTTAGTTGATCTTGACCACAATGTTCAGTAGAATTGTGCATTGCCACATATAACTCACGCGTTCGGTTCAAGGACATGTGATTAGCACATACATAAAAATATTTTATTGCACAGATGTAGTGAATTGTTTCTGTTTAGCCATCGTATGCTCGATTACCAGAGGTAGATGGGCAACTAAGAGTGATTTATGTGCCCTTAGCTGCACTCAGATATCCGCATTGTAATGTCTAAGCCGTCTGCTGGACACGTTTGTAAGGATTTTGGGCAAACCATTGAACTTTCGCAAATTTTTCTATTTCAAGAAGATGTGGCCACATTGACTTCCAGAAACTCTAAGATCCGCGGTAGACAGTGAAGGAGACCTTATTTTTTCCGTCGCAATCCCTACTGTTCACCGGAAACACCGACTTCATTCTGCATGCTTGAGACAGTGCTATCGCGTTGTCTAACAGGTACCATCTCGCTTGACCAGTATACTTGGGTACAAAAGGGCAAATAAGGCACTCAGAGTCCATTAAGGCGTTCGGAGGTAATTGTCTTCCTCTAAATTATGGCCTTAAATCAAACTGGCGGAAAAGAGTAGTTGTACATTACATATCGGAGGAGTATTTTGGAGTCCGGAAATGTAAGCTCTGTTCTACAGACATCTGAATGTTAAAACAGTCGCAGAATGGCAAGGAGACGTTAGGCGCTCTAAGACTACATTTCTCTGGCTTATCAAACCCGTATCAAACATTCTAGACACTGTTGGACCAATTCGTTTGAACTGAGCTGAAAAAGTCTTGGCTACAAGGTGGACAACGTTTAATAAACTAATATATTCAAAAGGCAAGTTGGCGAGCATACATCTGCTTCCGATAAATTCTCTTCAGGCATGTGCATTTATATGGCTATTAAAATACAGGCAAGGAGATAATTATGCTGTAGCTCGCGTTTGGAGAAAAAGTGAAAGCCCAGAATTCCGTCAGCGTCAGGGAGATGATGGGCTTCAGAAAAAGGCAATTATATACAAGTGGCTGGATTTGTGGCTTTGAGCCATAACAATTGTGGGACCTGTATGAGGTACTTCTGAGCAGATGAGACTACGTTTGTTCAAAAGGGTAAAGGAACATCATCCAGCATGGTTAGGAAAGGGTCAAATAGGGAATATCAACAGCTCTGTACTCACGCACATGGCAGACAAAGACCACCATGTAAACGCTAGAGAGGCTTCACAAGTGATTAACAAGATTCCACCACCACCATCATCATCATCATCATCATCATCATCATCATCATCATCATCAAATATGATTAAAATCGCATCGTCTGGCGGGTCCTCATAACTCAAGTGAATAAAGCGTTGTCTGTATTAAAGCCTTCCCCGTACTGCGTAAGTTCAAATCCTACCGAGGCGTCGAGTTTTCACAATTGGGTCAATCTGATTTTCATCAAACTATCAAAATCTACTTGGGCAGCGCCTGTTTGCTCCGGCAAAGGCCACTGCTATCAGGCTACCTGAACCGGTCCTACGCGCACAGGATAATTTCATGCAGGTCCCGCCATTTTCATGGGTCATGGCCCACAAGCCGTATTTTCTGACTTACTATTTCAATAACCATATAAATGCATCGGCTTGAAGAGAATTTATCAAAGGCAAACATATTCTCGCCAAATTGCGTCAGTGGGAATGTTTACAACCCTTAAACTATTATGTATTACTTCTAGGAGTATTCATAATGAATTTTGCGAATCATTTTCTAGCATTTATGGAAGGATATCCTTACTAACATCGCCTACTTATCACTCCACTGGCGAGCGAAAAAAAGGATTTTTCTTGAGATTCTCTGGGGCAAATTCCTACTCACTATCGAGGGAATTCAGCCCGTAATGCTCAGGGCTGTTCCAATTCTAGATAGTGAACGGTTACTGCAGCTTGTCCTCATTTCGAATCTATTTCCAAGCGACAAATGGCTGTCCCAAGTGTCCCAAAATTGGGAACGGATTGCATCACTTACATTACTGCTGTAGAATCCATCCTCAAGTGGGGCAATCTGCGTGCAACCACTGCCTGCGGCAATGACAGTCATTTTACGCAAGAATGATGTAATTATTTCAAGACCAAAAACGAAGATTCGATGTCCAACACCAAATTCCATTATTCTATTACAATTCTCTCGAGATTGTTTCGAAAATACACTTTCTGAATGGAACCTTAAGTTTAAAATTGGACTTTTGTGAACTCCACTCATGTTTTCTTCTCAGCAAAATTCCCTAAAGCTCCTCTGAACTTGATATCACCGCACAACGCGCTCCTGTTAAACCAGATCATAAAAATCAAGTTTTTTTAAAAATTCCCGACCCCTGTAAAAATGAACAAAAGGGAAAAACGCGAGAAAAAAATTAAAAGAATGTGAGTGAATCCACTAAATTTTGACTGCTCAAGTTGAACGTGCTTTCTTATAGCAGAGATAACATCCGAGAACTTGAATCAGGGGCCGTCCGAGCAATAGGTCGATATTTGTTTAAACGTATTGATATCCTAGCGGTCTTAGGAGAAGCCATCATTTCAATCTATTTAAACAACATCGACAAAAAGGCCTTACTGTTCCATATTCCTCCTGGGCTCACATAGACCTGCTGTTTTAGCCTACAGACTAACCAAAACATGACCAGCCTTTTCATTTGGTTTTGGATTGCCCGTCATTCATTTGCTCTGTGGGAAATATGTCGACTCCCTTCGCACCTCCATAATTAGCGCGTCCTCTAAGTTACCTTGATCCAGTTGTATCGGATGCATCTGGGAACTTAGACTCCCCCAGTACTGCACGTGGCCTTGTGCTACTATCCGGGGGAATCCTAGTCTTATGTCCCGGCCTTAATCCTAACCGTCACACTTGCCCAACTCTAATACTGACCCCATTTATAACACTTAATCACCTGGAAATTAGAGCAAGGTCATCCGCAATTGGGTATAAATATATTTACGTGTCCGACCGCTGCAACCTTGCAGACGTCTTCACTCCGCAGACAAGAATTAAATCTCCCAAACATTCAATCAACAATTTCATTAAGTTTTATGATTACATCCCTCAAACTCACGCATTAAAATCGTTAAGCATACCAATGCCAATAATTGTGACTTTTAGAAGAAATGAAAGTGTTATTTACGCGGTGCCTGCCAATAACGCAAGTGTAACGAGATGCAATGTTACAACTCTCCTGGAATACAGTTCAAATACATTAGTCGTATTTTTTCGAGTTTCCACGTCCTCTTTACCACGTTAGCAATGAGTGTGACTGACTGACAGAAAAGATAAAATTAAACAATTATTTGGACACTTGTATCCACGAATTTGAAAGTAAAGATGACGGCTGCTTTCGAGCTCCTGAGATCCACAAAGCTAGTCTAAACATCACAGGCAGGGACAGGAAAAACTGTGAACCCGAAAACCGAATTTCTATTTATTTCCATCATGCCGGTATACCTGTATCAGAAGGAGATACGAAACCTCCGTATTGCAGTCGGCCTTGCAATAACTTCCGAGAGATTGTGGTTAAAAGTAGATGCGATCGCTAGACAGGAGCCTCATTCGCCTGACGGTATTGATTCATTCTGGATACCAGCATCAGAAAGCGTATCAGATACAGATAATTCACACGCAGAAAGTTTCAATATTTATAGGATGCAGTCGCTATGCTACTGCATACCTGTGACACTTAACGGCCCTCCACAATTCATCGAGGATAGTTACTCCATCCGCGCATGTCATCAATGGCTGAAATTTAATCACCCGCTTTGGGTGTTGGCGGATGATTGTTCGGCCACCCGTCCCACAGTCCTGCACGTTCCTCAAGTGGTTACTAACTCTGGCCAAAGTAAGCCTCAGCACAGAATATGGCGTGGGGAAGTCATTGTACTTGTTAATAGATCGGGGTCCCTTAAACAATGAGACAAACGACTCGCGACTTGCGTGATTATCCCCTCTCGGGGAGTTTCGACCGCACCAAACTTGAATGTGTGGCCGAGTCTCGTCGAATGAGCCGCGACTCGGGTGCTGACGTCACTTATACGCACTGCTGTTGCGTGTTCAACCATTCGTGTCCGGAGCAGTCTTTCAGTTTCCCCGACGTAGCTGTTTGTCGTCAACTGCATCAGGTCCAATAAACGACACCAGATGCTTCTTATCGTGACAGTGGATATTTTGGTCTTATTATCTAGCGACTAAGGGTTGCCTCCGGTCTGCCCATCACTCCACCTCCAAGTGGTTCGAGAAGGCGGCTGATGGCCTTCGAAACTTTCTTAGTGTACGAAATCCCTCAGCATCATTTGCGATCGGTGCGACTATGTCGCTCATCTTGTTTGCGCATGCCCCATTTGACGAAATTACGCAGATAACCCCGTCCAGTTTATTGTTATTCGATAACTTTGTCTTCCGGTCCACTACAAAACGTCCAAACACGCCGATATACCGCTCTTACGCAATTGCATTTTTGGCTAATTAGGTGGTTGTTGTTGTTGAAGTGCAATACGTGCGTCGCATTTGTCGCTTTCCTGAACACTTTAGTCTTAAGATCATCAGAAATTTTGCGGCAGACAGGACCATCAAGGAAGGCCAGCTGGTTATTTCCTTCCTCCTGGAAGACATAGTTGAGACATTCTTCGAGTTGCACACAGACCAAATGCAACCATTAGGCGCCGGCAATGAGACCAAAAGATCCACTGCCAAGACAAGAAACATCTGGAGCCGTCTATCAGATTTGGTGCAGTTGTCGGCACAAAAACTGCGTCGGAGATACTGGAAGCCTGCTCCGGTCGGGAATGGTTAAACACGCGGCAGCAGTGCGGAGAAATAGCTCCAACACTCGAGTCGCGGCTCAGTTAACGGGACCTGGCCGTACATTTAAGTCGATGCGGCCGAAATCCTCCCAAAAGCGGATAATCGAGTGAGCCGTTATACCTTCCCGCTATTAAAATTTGTAAGGACGCATCAGAGGTGATTGATGTTCATTGCTACTCTCTTGAATATCTCTCACCGCACTTGAAGTTAGTGAAAAATATTTCCCACCCTCCTCAAATCTAACCAGAGCTACAATCAGTGTCCTTTCTCTCTTTACATAGTATTCTGCATAGAATTTGCTAAGACGGTTTATCTATCTCAAAAGCTGTATTGCTAAAAAAAACAATCTCAGTAAATAGACGGTTTTATTTTTTATATTTTGACTGGACGTGCCCTGCTCAGAAGTTCTTGCACCTATACCCATCTCAACCAAATGCCAAATGCCTGTAATCCCAATAAATTAAAATGTCAGCCTCAGGCACAGACAGGTTCTGAAATCAATGCTATCAGTGCGGTCGCGACTAAGCACTCATTTCTCGGGGAACATTTTACTTCCCGAGACTTTCAACCAAACATATTTTCAGCAGTTTCACGCGCATATTGCCAACGGGTTTGTTAGCGGCGCTAACGGGGTCTTCGGCTCTTTTCTGCTACATACTGAACTTTTTGTAAGCGCCATTTAGACCTGCCTCGCCTTCTCTGGAGGTGGTTGGTGGGCGGTTTACGTGTGTGCTTCGTGAGTCACCGCTTCGTCGGGGGGGGGGGGATGACTGAACCTTTGTCGGGTGGTCGGTCTGGTAGATCTTCCTACTCAACGACTAAAGTCGCCGTCGGGCTGTCTGTAAATCGCCTTCTTAATTCTAATATGGTTGATTGGTTCTGAGGTCCACATCAGCACGTAAGTAAACCTGTTGCGGTGAACGCATTTTTTCTTCGAATCTTTAACCCGGATCTCTCAAATTTTGCAGTCTGAGCATTGAAATATCCACCCTCTATTTTAGGTTAAATTGTCCCAAATTTAATGGAATGTTAGAGTTAGAGTTGGGCAGAGCAAGGAAGGATAAGGTTAGGGTTAGGGCATGAGAACAGGAACTCCTGGAATTCAACGCGAGGTCACCTTTAGTACTGGCGGAGGTCCATATTCCCTCGCCAAACCGATGACCATCGGTGTTTCATGAGCTGCAGTGTTTGGTTTAATTGGTAAATGCAAGAGGTTGCCACGAAACATGTCTTTGTAGGACGTACGAAGAGTTGAGAATATCAGGACTGTGGGTTTATTCTAACAATGCCAAGGGGGATCACGTCCCCCCTAGGAGTCCAATGGGTTGGATGTGGTTTTGTAATCCCATCGGAAGCAAACAAACCCCAGTCACCTCTAATACGGGACCGGTGGTAATAGAGATTTTACAGATGGACCCGGGAAACGCACAGGCGACGACCTCAAGTAGTTTTATGCAAAAGAAAAGCTATTGGGAGTGCCCGGTTGTACTATAAATGGTTGAGAAAAAGTTGCCCCAACCCTTAGCCCTACCCCTAACCCCTAACCCTAACCTATAAACCCTGAGCATAACCCCTAACCCTAAACTCAACAGTACTGTGTCCATCAGGTGGGGCTACCAAACCACATCTTACCGTTCATTGCCAGTATTGAGCGTCATTAAAAGAACATTTTCTACATTCGGCCTTTTACTGTTGCCCCTGTGGGCACATTTTAGTTGTTAGTCATAGAAGACGTGCACAAGCGGTATCTTCTGAGAAAAATACTCACAGTTATTCCAAAAAAGCACTTCATTATCTCCTTTGCATATAGCACCCGTCAACCGACGATAGAAGGCTAACCCATGGTGGGGCCTCCAAACTAGCCAGCAAGTAGGGCAAAATTAAAGAATTATGCTCATAAAAACATGAACAACGGTTGACGCATCAGTAGCAGAAGGATCAAACTGCAAACTATAATTTTTACGGCGATTAGGCGCGCAAAATAACGCGAAATCGGTTGTCGGTTAGTAGACCGCTTTAATAACAAGAAAACCTTATTCGCTGTAAATATCTAGTGAATGTGGTACTGCAAAAAAACAAAGCATTGACGACTAGCGTGTCTGGCTGTTTTTTCAGTTGACGTAGCTACTTAGATTTTACAGTCGTCCGTGTGATATCTGAATGTCTGTTGCTATTGGCGACGAGGACTAATGTCTCCAAAATTTACTTAAAAATTTCAGAAAACAAGAAAATTTAGATAAACTCAAGCTACGCTATGCAATGCTGATATACTGCGAAAATGGCAACTGCAAAGATATCTTCTAAGTAATGTTCTTTGAAGTTCTTTGTTATAAGCGTCGCTTCCACTCTTGACCTGACTAGACATCACTTTTTAGAATATTAACTGTGGTCTGCTTCCATCGCTCAGTTGGAATGAAAATAACGTTGGGCGTCTGATATTTGCGCACAGATCTTTCCCGCCCCCTGCCACCGTAGCCGCTGAACGTCATCTTTCCGTTTCCGCTACAGCAACTACCTACCTACTATATGTGACATAACTCATGCAACATGATGTCGGAAACTGAGACGATCAAGCGTGGGCAGTTTAAGTGCTGCGTACTTTACTTATTCGCCTAACGTCCTCCTAAAATATTCTTTCTGCATGAACATATACATGTAAAAAGTGTTTTTCAGGCAGAATGTTCATAAATTCGAGCGAAAACCAACATTTTCCCGTATTCCACTGGTTTTTCGACCTAATAGCTATCCTAGACTTAGCCTGCGCATTTATTCGTGTTTTTCTACTAGAAGGGGGTAATCTTACTGAGAGAGTTTTACAAAAGAGTACTTGCTGCACTTAAAAATTGATTGTTTTCGCCAAGTAAATCAACTGGAGTATGATGTAAAGAATAAGGTTATTTTTAGAAATCCGGACAACTTATTGATTTTAAAAATCAACCTTTCAACTCTATTCGATTTTATGACCTTTAACGCAGTAAACATGCCTACTGAAAATTTATTGTCAAAAGACTGAATTTCTATGCCATTTGCGAGTACTCGGTAGCGTACCACGAAAAAGGCCGTCACAAAGTTGCTATGCACAATTTAGACATACACGATAATTCTTCAGTTATGGTCTAATTTCCACTCCTATGTAATTTAGGAACGGAACATGCAACAGATTAGCAATCTTTAAAATATTTTTAACATTATACGGCCACTTTGTTGTGAATTCACAATCTTAGAATGGCGCCTAAAAATAAACGAATAGAACATAAAATCCCAATATCAAAAGAAAAAGGGATTCCTTCGTTTGATGACTAACAAAGAATAGTTATTTTAGAACGTTTTGATTTTGGCCCTAATAATGATGAAATTCACAGACATCTGTCAAAAAACGCTTAATGAATACTTTTTTGCAATAAAATGGCTTGTAAAAGAACGTCTTTGAAGTGATATAGAGCAAAGTCATTGCCGCTTTTAGTAGTGGACGTTTATTTTTACCGAAAACTATATTTCACATATGGGCGAGTCTGCGAATGTACACTGAACGGCCATCTGCATAAGGAAGAATGTCCGAGCGTCCACTATTTGGATAAAGGCTCTAAGAAATATTATATTTTGAGGGTTATCATAAACACAAAGCATAGGGTCAGTCTCAGTGGGAAACCGCGGCTAGTGAGATATTCGCATAAATTTCAAAGACAATCCAAAACTCGACGCATTCCCGCAAAACTGACCACATTTGACGGAAGGAAAGTCCTCCTAGCGTACAAAAAATAGTATACTTATGATTTTCCGCATGCCTTAGTTAAACGCATGTCAAACAGTGTGGAGACAGATAAAGCACAGCCAAATCTCATAACACCGTGTTCGAATCAGAACTCAAAGTGTCGGCTGTTGAATAACTGCCATACTTGACATTATACTTGTTCGTGAAGGATATTTAAATGCAAACCTCATTAAAAAGCAGTTTTAAACGTTATTCTACAGTACGTGACCTATCTCATAAAATCTGATATCGGAAACTGATGAGAGAATTTCTGGAGACATTTAACGTTAAGCATTTTGTTCGCTCCTCCACTTCCTTCAGTAAAATGTCCTTTTATTGTGCGGAAATTGTGGTTACGTAATTATATCAAATAAAATATCAGAAAATGTTAGCGAAAATGGACTTTGGATTATATTCCTGCAATTTCCTACTCTAATACGTGTTTACGATCACGCCCGTCAGTTCTATTTAAATTTATTAGGCCCAGATCGGCGTCATGGCATGCCGCCTTCTGAAAACTTTTGTTCCTACGATGTCCCCAACGGTAAAATCAAGCAAAATCCAGTTTCTCTTGTTGAATCTCATCTCATTTAACTGAAAATACACATGGATAGCACAGACCTCTGGAAGACGGTTTTGGAATCTACACTGGGAATGTAGGCAGTTAACAATCCATCATACATGAAATCAAACTAACAATTAAACGATATTTAGATGTTAACTTCATTAAAACACTGACATTAGACGTTATTTTATGTCTATTGTCATATTTGCTACGTTTTTGATTTGAGAATACATTCTATACATCTAAAAACGAACTTTCCTTATTTAGAGCCATTTCTGACGTTTTCGGGATATTGGGCTTTTCAAAATAAATCGGCATTTCTAAACAACGCAACACTGCCTTTAATATTTCTTTTATGTTTTTAATTCTTTTAAACTTGTACTTAATTAACATAGACACTGGACTCATGAAATTGCGTCGGTTTGCGAGTGATTAGCAATCATTCGTAAATTTCGACAAATTTCATGAGTTAGGTTACTAACTGTACTTGTACTGCTTTGTTTGTCGAATTTCTATATGGACAGGCTTTCTGTACGTAGAAAACTTCGTTTTAATCGTTTGCAGCGATTTTTGACGTTTTGGGACTCCTCCTTTTTCCAAAAATGTTTAGTATTTGTTAACAAAGTTATAGTAACTTTGTTATTTTTACGTTTTCAATTCGTTTACTGTCGTTTATTATTCCACAGTCATGGCCTGTTCGCTTGTTTTTCTACACGTTTTGGCACTTTTCATGCTAGAGGTCACATACTCATGCGCTGTTTTTTAGATTTTAGAGGACCCCTCATGGCAGCGCTTTTTCCAGTACGCCATCGCGGTTTCCGCAGCTCGCGAACTTCACGATCTCGCCTCCGCTCTGATCCTGTTGGTTTGTGTGGCCGCATCCGCCGGCTTCCGTCGTCGCTGCGCGAGTCTTCTTGCACTGCGCTCCTCCACAGACCGGAGCCTTCTGTCTGAGCAGTTCAACAAGGTCGATCGTCGTCGCAGACGGCTACAGTACCGTGCTCTGGCGTGGCTGCGTCGATGTCTGCCGGACCTCCGGCGCCTGCCTGCCTGCGTGCGGACACGCAGCCGACGATCCCTGCTGACTCCGCGCTCACTCTTTTCACCAGCCGATCAGCCCACATGGAGGTGGGGCGCGGGATGGCGTTTTCCCGGTGCTGCTACAGTTGCATCCCCGCCTCCGCCGCAGCCTTGGTCACCGCTCGCCTCCCCAACAGCGAGTGATGGCACAGTACTCAGCCCCAGGCAGGATGTGGATCCGGACCTCCTGGATGCTCTAGTCCAGCGACACAACGCTTATGCGGCCGAGGCCGTGATGTCGGAAGAAGAGGAGCCTTTGTCTGACGCGGGACAAACACCAGCATCCACTCTTTCCCCCCCGTCTGCAGCAGCGCTCCGGTCGCCACACCTGGTGTCCCCAACAGTGGCAAAACAATCCTCTGGTCGTCGTTACATCAAGAACCAGCGCACAGATTTCCTTGGGCGCAGGCGGCTACAGGATACTTAAACAGCGCAGATGAATCTCATTGGTTTTCGAGGGATTCGAAATTTGTTTGCTTGGGTTAACATATGCAGCATTGTTCCTTTCTTGGTTATCATAATGGTGGTCCTTTTCTTCAATCCTACTTCTGGAAGACTTTAAAGTTTAGAGAAGTCCGGGGAAGTAATAACTCAGGAATTTGCTCAAATAATACTGACTTTGAAAACTTTATGCGACGGAACTTCCTAGTGCAAGATTAGCTGGGTCCGTCTTGCGAAATCTGATCGTCCTGTTTGAGTGATATTCTGGTGCATTCAATGTTTTGCGCTTACCAAGAAATTAAAAATCAGGATAGGAATACAGGAACTTCGTAAAATATGCAACCACTCTCCTGGCCGAAATCTAGTTACGAAATTGCTTAATTTTAAGGATTTTGTGGTAACACTTAACAGAAAACGTGGGTATGAAATGTGTTTCAGGAGTCATCAACATGGCTTGTTTTGCATCATCTGACTCCTGTTTGAACTAGGTGATTCTGTCCTAACTTATCATTTATTTTTCTTAATTTGTAAGTTTCATATTTGCACCCGAAATGAGTTCATACTTCCCAGTAATTAAACGGCCTTTACTGATATAGATACAGCATTGCTGATTACCCTTCAATACTCAACTGCCTGCGAGGAAAACGTTTAGTGCAACTGATCCTTAGAGCAGAGGGGTAGCAGAAACTATTTTTCTAGAAATGTTGACGATTTGTGATATGGGCACAGGGCTTAAATGACGGAGAGTTTGATTTAAATTCTTGAAAATCTGTTGGTCACTGTTTCAAATTGGTTATTAGTTCTGTCTGGGTATCGATTATGACAAATGTGTCAGAACTTCACATTCTATCGCTCCTCCTCTAGGAAGGTATTGCTTCCATAAAAACTACCGTCGGTTCTATTTATTCAAATACCTGTGCCCTTAATCACTATGGCTATAATCGTGCAAGATGGCGTTTTAGGTGCATGGACGCGGAAAGAGTTAACTCCAGTTAGGCTTCTAGACGTCTAGTTGGCACTAATTTTGCGACCTTCGCTGAGCAAGAACGACACAATTGGAGTAAGGATTGCAGTTAGTTCAATGCGAGACTGATCCCAAGAAGTAGAAAAAGAATCTTTTTGTATCAAGGGACAGTAAAGAAGGCATCATTCTGAATGTTCATAATTAGTCCAGTACACATGCACACATGATTTCAGGTGACAAAATAAGCATCCTTTCTGAACCGGCATGCGACAAAACGATACTTACTCGGTTTTACATCAATATGGAGGTAACAATATGTAATTATTGCACTTATTCGGATTGCAGATATCTCCTTATACGGAGAGGAAGAGATTACTGGTAATTAAAAAGGGTGGGATAAGGACAGTTTGACTAAATGGATTTGTTCAAAATGAATTTTATTGTGCAAGAAACGTCATCCTGGTCGTGCTGCACTGGCAATTTTGACAATATTTCACCAGCAGAATTTGGCGAAAGAGAATTCTGAGTTTTCTGTCGAGTTAAACGCAAAATATCTGCATCACATGCTGGTAAAACTTTGCAGCAATTGGCCTTAGGTGTAGAACGGATTTGTTAAGTACGGCGTCTTCTCTTAAACGTTTCCCAAAGCCAAAAGAACATGACGGGACGCTGCACGCGAGGAGTTTATTTTGTGGCTTACCATTTGAGAAGTGATTTCGACTACCCATCGTAGGACCTGCTATCAGGCTGACTTGGGTAACTTTGCCTTATGCGCGACAACAGCCTCATTAGACACTTTTTTGTCAGTCGAAAGGAGAAGTCCTCTTGTTAATGTGGCCTGGGGTCACTCATACCTGCGGCAATCAGCAAGAATGACTGACAAAGCCTTAACAATCGTTTGACCTTTTTTAACAAAAGTGGAATCTCGCTTTTAGCCAACCAGAGGTCATGTGGGAAGGCTGCAGCATCTGGTGAGGGAGCAAACAGTCCACCTGCATATGCTGCATTCCACCCATCACAGGCTTTCTTTCCGGTTCCGTGGCCTAATCACCAAGCCCCACTTGACCTCCGTCGCCAGTTGTAAGCCGCGTTACGTCCATCAGCGCTCTTTGCGAGGACACATTTTAAGAGGCGGTATGTCTGCACACACAAAGTGTACGGGAAAACCGGAGCGTAGAAACGTAACTTTCTGCCAAGTTAAGGATAGCTAGAAGATGACCTCTCGACCTCTGTTTCCGTCTAAAAGCAAACTGCAAATATGTTGACGTCGCAGGTTAAGCACATTTCGCGCAGTTGGTCTGGCAAAGATTTAGGCATGTTTGTGGTGCATTTTGGGTGTGCGATCCCGTAAGCGACCTTAAAATTCATGAAAAGTGGGAGGCAACGGGCCCTTCTTCAGGGAAAGCCATTTGTTGCTGATCTAAGTGTCAGTACTATAGCATGTGACAAAACGTCTAAGAAATAGACTGACGTTAATGTAAGCCAAAACGTTGATTTTTAAATGCATTTCTTTTAGACCGTCTGCAGAAGTCACTCTCAACATAAATTGGTTGCTCAATTATTTTGTATTTTCTCGGTTCATTTTTCGATATCTTTGTAAATCCAAATATATTTTGCAGAAACTGTGCAAAATAATACCTTTCTTTTACTATTTTTGCAGCAAACTGGGCTAGGTCTCATTTTTCTCACTCAAGAATTATACATCTTTCGGTTAAGATGGAGTGTGAAATTAGGGGTGTTTTTCCGGTCTGTGAAAAGTTTCATCAAAAACATCGTATCTGGCCGCTTTTAAATGATACTTAATAGGTATACAACATGATCCGTATCCTTTTTAAAATTGTAAATGTCATTTTATTTATCGCCCCAAAAGTATAGAGAAAGGCATAATTTGTGCTTCATTTGGAGTGCAGAGCTTGTGGTTTAGAAGCCAAATACGAACTTTCAACAGTAGGACTTTAATTTTTTTAAATTTCTAAATTTTCTAAAAGACGTTCTTCGCATAAATAATTCAAAGACCGAAGTTACTAAAAGGGGGCCTAAAGGATAAAGGATATTTTGAACATTCCCCCTGAAAGATATATATTTGTCAACATGAATTTGTCAGAATTCATGTGAATTTATCAGGAGTTTATACTAATTATGTAGTCATGCTTTGAACGTGATTCTCACAGCTGGGTGCAAGATAACTCGAATAAAATCCGACAACCTAGCGTGACTGAAATATCCTGGGACAACGTTGCATGCCAATCAGTATCACAGTCCCACATTTCTAATTAGGCATGCTTTAAAATCTCATTCAGTTTTGTTATATATAGAGTCCTTGGATTATTAATTATGCGGGCAAAGACTTTTTGCAAAACCACCTGACTTAGTTCTGAGCCGTGTCCGTTCGGCAGTTGCTTGTGGAAATTTCAGATAAAAGCGGGCCGTGGGCTGACAACTTGGTGCTTAAGTTCATTTTCGTTAATCGCACTGAATGACATCGGAGACACCTTGGCGATTGCAGGTAGGAGCTATAGATAGAGATATGGGCGGATTAACAAGACGCTCAGTAAGGCTTATTTCGCATTCAGTCAACCAGTCCTAATTCCAGCCACCTTCTGTGAACGAAAACAAAAACACGTACGGGTGAACAGTGCGGATTTGCAGAAAGAGACTCAATCGGCTGAATAGGAATTTTTCTCGGCTGACGTTTCAGATTTCCACTGGAACCCATCATAACAAGCAAAGACAGTTGATGGTAGTGGGCTCAGAATCTTTGCAGGATTTATAGTATTTGACTGCTGTGTAACCATATGCTCAACAATAGCAACATACTTAACTTCATGGCGGACGGTGGAACATAGTGCGATAATTGCTTGTCTGTTTAAAACTGGTCAAAGGCCGAAATTTCGTCACCAGTGATAGCGACTCAGCCATTGGCCTCATTAGTAATGTCATTAGGAGCAGAGTTTTATCACACGCGCAAGCAGAGTCTTGACAAAACATACAGAGAATGGAGATAATGTGCTGGATGATAGCTTGTGGGTTCAAGTACGAAATGAGGCTTGGGAACAGGGAAGCCCCATAACACATGGGGTCTTCAGCAAAGTTCAAGGAAGGGTTAGTATTCGCGTGTCCTGTTCCTGGCATTGGCAGCAACCCGAATCTCCCGTGGTAGTAGTGCAGGACTGCGGAGCTGGGAGGTTCCTATTCCCCTGCATTGCCGAAAGCGAAAACTGAAGCAGATCGCGATTCTCGTGGTTGTTGACTCTTACGAGAATTTCGGCCTGTTTAGCTAAAACATGTAGACTGGCTCCGCCGAATGCGTTCCGACTTAATGGTCATATCTCCACGTGGTCATTGCCTGTCCGGTCATCTACGTCCAGGGCATTCGCCTAGTTTCTTCGATTTAATCGTCTTGTTCGCAGCTGTATCATGTGCGGTGAAAGACTCCAGACGTCTCCTGTTGTGATAGGGCGTCTTTCGATGCCGACTCATGGCGTCTGATGGTTGCCCTCATTCTGTGTGTAATCTCGACCCCATGTGGTACAAAAAGGACGACTGGTATCCCCCATAGGAGGCATTGTAGTTCGATAACTTTGTCTTTGGATACTTTGACATAGCGTTCTTTAGCGACTGCGCTTGTATCTGAGTAGGTAGCAACTTTTGAAACTCAGAACGTGCGATGTATTAACCGTCCTCCTGAACGCTTCAATTCTCAGATCACCGCAACGTATGCTATGTCTAAGTACACTAAAGAATGTCATATGGCTATTTGCTTCCTTGTCCATCATAACGAAGTTGTAATTTTTTGGTTTGGAAGACCATGTCTACATACCGAGCACAGAGCTTTGGTCTTTGTGAGGAAGATCAGCGACTCCATCAATTACAAGCCAAACTCAAGTATGAGACAACTAATCAGCGAACATGTTGAAGTGTCCATAACTAGTTTGCCGACTGCTACATTTGGTCTTTAATTGCGTTTGAAGTGAAATCTATTCTTCGAATGATTTGCGCGAGCAAAGGGCGACATTTCCTCT